AGCAGTGACGGTAGTGTTAAGGTTTGGGATGTGCGATCCAAGTCGCGCAAACCCGCCGTGGACGTTCAGGTCTCCAACACCGACGTGAATGTTATGAGCTGGTCTAACCAGACTGCCCACCTTTTGGCTACTGGTGCCGACGATGGACAATGGGCAGTCTGGGATCTGCGTCACTGGAAGCCCAATGCCGCGGCGCCATCTGCTCAGATCACCTCTACCCCCGTTGCATCATTCGACTTCCACAAGGAGCCGATCACCACCATCGAGTGGCACCCCTCAGACGACAGTGTGGTGGCTGTTGGCTCCGCAGACAACACTGTCACACTTTGGGATCTGGCTGTCGAGCTGGACGACGAAGAAAGCCGCCAGGCCAATATGGCTGACATTCCTTCGCAACTACTGTTCGTGCACTATATGGAGTCTGTCAAGGAACTTCACTGGCAGGCACAGATGCCTGGTACGCTCATGGCGACCGGCAGCAATGGATTCAGGTATGTTCTATTCCTGATAATGAGTTATGAACCACACTAACTAGTTTCGTTTTATAGTGTTTTCAAGACGATCAGTGTCTAGACGAAGAAAATGTATCTACGCTCCGACTGACTCGGGAATTTCATGTGCCATGTCTTGCTCATATACCATTCGAATTCTGTGGATTTTTTGCTCCTCAATATCATTATGCTCGGAGTTAGACCCTATCCTTCAGATGGTTAGGGTGGTGAACAAAAAGATTTTGTTTTATATCTGGCATAGTAAATAGACATATTTTCGCGAAAAATCCGGGCGGTAACCCTATCTAAGAGATATTACTCAAGTCAATGAGGTATATATACCTCCAGGGCCAGGTAATACCTCAACAGCGGAATCAGAACTAGAGAATTCGGCCATTCCCCTCAGCCGAGGCCAGTCTAAGGGGGAGGGGCAAATCTGCAATGCACAACATCAGCAGAGCAGGTGCAGCGGAAAATACACCCTTACATCAACGCTATTATGTAGTACTTCCACGGATATACCTAGATACAGACGGAACTCGTTACTCTCGCCTATTCAAAACCCGCACCGAATTAGATCAAATGTAGGCGTTAGCAGGGATAAACTGCAGCTATGCCAAGTCACTGCCACAGGATGGACCGTGCGAGATCGCCAATGCGCCATTAAATACATAGACTATTGTATGTGACTTAATCCCATGTAGTTTTCGGCGCAGGGAATTGGCCTGGGGCCGAGTCGGGTGCGACGAGTGTCTGGACCAGTCGGTTCAATGATCCAGGGCTGCACTGGTTACTGACAGTTTACGGAGCCGTTGCCATTATTTTTTTTTTGTATTTGTAGTAGAAATAAATAGAAAATACAGAATACAATACAATTATAGTCTTGGGACGTGAAGATCGACCTTGGCTGTGCATTGTGGCGATGTGGGATGTTGTTCTTCGCGCTGTCAAAAAAAGACCCACGTTGCTATATTGGATATTTATTGTATGGATATTGGATTGCCATGGCATATGGAGACTGTGGAGTGGATTGACGCTCTAGGTATGACATGCATGAATTCCAAGACTGCTGAGTGCATTTCAATGTCAGACAATTGGACTGTTGTGCTTGTGTTGCTCGGCGCGAGACATCGGAGTCAGTTGTAAAGTATATTGGCGTGTCTATAGTGCTTATACCTCGGATGCAGTGTGTGTGCCTCACGCTAGAACAATCGATCTGATCTGCCCAAGTTTATGTATGGAAAATAGTTCAATGCTCCCTCGTCATCGTGCCTGCAATTAATACCGCTAATGCACGCCCGTGCCAGCCGGTCAATCACATCAGATCTAACCGCTCTCACGTTTGCATTAGCAGACTAGACACAGAAACAGGCTAAAATAGCTCCATTTTTGCGACATCGGTTGTTCTCCGGTCAAACAATCTCTCCGGCATCAATTTGTCAGGTCCAGCCTCTTCTCTTATCGGGAGAAAGCGGTTTATTCCGCCTATCGGCAATATACTGAAATGACTCCAAATTGGAGTAATACCCAGAATGTTACATTCAAGTGTACAACTGGGTACATGATCTCTGATCTTAGCGCTGGATAAACTCCAGGTCTCGCCACAAATGCTATGAAAGGCACTGCTCCTGGGTAGGTCGAATACAATTGGCAGCTCTCATCCTGTATGATCCGACCTTATACCCACACTAAACTTTGATCGTCCACGCAGGGACTCGGCCAGTCAGGCTGCGAGCTTGAGCGGCTGTCCATAAGGGAAATTCGTTCCCGACTATTACTACTGCATCAATGATTACTCCGTATCCGGAGATATAACCTTACGCATGATATAGTCTTTGATAACATATTTGTTATCATCATTATATACTGTAGTCATAATAATGATAGGAAGAAGCATGTTATCGTAATGTTATCCCGGCACACGGCCGAGAACTAAGAATATCTGTATTCTCCATCTTGCGGGAGACCCACTAGCCTCCGTATCTTCCGCTATCCACTATACTGCTATGATTTGATTTGGATTGTTTCAAATATGTGGTTGGCCATCGTGCGACATTTGACGCCTTCTGATTCCGGGTTTTGGTTATCCAGGTATTGGATCCTCTCGTCCCGGTGCTGATCATCCGTATGGTGTCACCCCACGTCTTTTTGCCGCTCGATCTGCCCTGGAATGACGACAGTGGACTTGCCTTTTTATTTTGGTAACGAAGGTGTGAAGTACTTGGTATGGTAGGCTCGGTTGAATCAACCGAGCCGTTCTCTATATTAATGGTTTGTGGGCCTACGCAGGCGAGACAGCTCAGAGCCTCAGGAGATTAAACGGAGCCATTGCCAATATTCTCCAAGATAATCTTCAATCAGGAAGGCAACCTATGAATAGGTATGTACAGGTCAAGGTCCAAGCCAATGATGACACCTTATCTCCGTGTATTCTTCACAGATAATAACGAGATAATAACGGGTGATATCCGGTAAGGATAAAACAGAAGAAAAAAAGGCACACGGCTTAAACTCCGATCAGGGGTGTTCCGCCATCCCGCGTTGATGCCAGCACTGGCCACTTAGTAGGCCTCCGTGACACACAGAGCTAGGATGTGGGCGCTTCGGAGAATTTATGGAGATATTTGAGAGCTTTCTATCCCGTAAACATTGAGCCGTTGTTTCATCGTAATTTATTACCTCCATATGACTAAAATCTAGGAAAAGTGTCTACTTACACGTTGCACATATGGAGATCCGCGAAGCGCGGTTACGCAATAACGTTTGATGGGCTCGATCCATGGCTAGCGCACTTTCAAGGGTGCCCCTGTTAGTATACGATGTGTTAGTATACGATGCAGTGTCCTAGTGCCCAAAGTGTACAGTGTCATTGCATGATTAGGAGCAGTGGCGTCTGCCCCTGAGTTGCTAGTGTGCGCCCGAGCTCACAAGCAATGACTTTAATGTGTTGGATGGAATATATTTAGACTAGATGGTATTTACGGGCCTGTGTTGCGTAACATTGTATTGGCTGTGTTCGACGGTGAACTGTGTTTGGGGTTGTTGTACGATGCTTCAAAATGCGGTAAGACATGTCTTCGAAACTAAAGGCCCTACGGACTAGTTCGTTCCGTCCAAGGCTTCATACGTTCCGTAGCTGCCGGAGAGATCGGATATATTGCTCACGGGGTACCAACACGGTAATTATATTGATGTGGCTGAACTTGCTTTTCATCTATAGGTGCATGGACGCTAGCAGATTGGAAATAGGCCGGATGCCGACGTGCCTAAGGGGAAACTCAGACCCTTGAGTTGCAGCTTATTTGCTCATCCATCCAGATGGATTGGCCAGTGCCATCCTAACAGCCCGGATCAACCCCGGCATCAATAGAGCTTAGAGAACAGCTTACTGCGTCGGAGCTGGGGACGGTGGCTTACAACCCTGTTGTTTCATTTGTCACTTGACAATCCTTGACTCATCTCGGGTCACCTGCAGCTTCCTTAGACTCGCTCTAGTGTGCTAGGTTGACTAGTGCATTGTCAAGTCCGGGGATTCTGCAAACGAGATGTCCGTGCGACCGAGAAATTGCGAGCCTACAACATATTCTCCACAGGTTTGGACAAGACAGGGAGAGTGAAGTTAACAAAGAAGTATTGTTGTGTAACTACCTTCCTTGTCAAGTCAATCCAAGGCTGTGTCAACACCGAAACGCTGGATACCCCAGATCCAACATCGATCTGTCGGCTGCACACCCAATAGAGTGCCCTCGCCTCGTTCCCGTGCGACTCAAACTCAAAACGGCGTGGCGCAACGTGCGCAGTCCATATGGGATGGGGATTCTAGAAAACGCTTGGGCAGATTCCGGGGGAAAGCAAATTAAAAGTCTGGGGAGCCAAGAAAAAAGGAAAAAGAAAAGAGACCCCATATGCCTTTTTCCACGGGTATTACCCTCGCCACGCAAGGAGAAGGATAATCCTCCAGAACAGCCGCATGTATGTGTTGGGAAATCCCCCACACGAACCCTTTTTTGGCTCCCCCCACAAAAATGGCGCATGGCCTCCCGCTTAATCATACCCGGACACACTCCGCCCCCGGGATTCTATTCTATGTTTTCCATTGTTTTGCAAGTTTGTTTTCCAAGGTTTCCTAGGCTACAGAAGTGTAGCCTTGGGAAGAAAATGAAGACTGAAACCAGATCCTGTCACGAGGTTTCGCCTACATTACATCTGTATCTTACCATTTTATGAACGTGTATGGGCTTGTTCTCAGTAACCCTCGGACCCACTCCGATACTTCCACGCTTACCAATAATTAAAAACGTATGTACCTCAATATACACTATTGAAATACCAGGTAACTTCAACCAAAATTCCGAATTCCTTTCTGAAACAAAACATTCTTCAATTGCATTCCACAGAGTATCAAAGTAGATGTTTCAAAGGTAAAATAGTGCCTAAAAAGGCACAATACTAGTCAGGTCTGGCGTTACGACGCTAATCCTGAAAGGACAAGTAAGTGGAGAGCAACCAATGAGTCTTGCTGATAACCAGAACCAGGAACTGGTAGACGTCTGGTTGACTGTGCGTGTTCATAAGATTTAGTCTATACCGGATTTGGTATCACCCTAGGTAATCGTGGGGGCATTATTGGTAGACAAGGCCAGCCCGTGTGTTTGGGACCCACCATCTGCGCTCTGTATCGGTACCGTCTGCTTGCTCATCTGTCGCTCGTCTGTTGTATGGTTGTCTGGGCCTGACATCGACCTGGGTGATAGTTGCCTCGCATGTACCTCCGGTGTACCTTTACCCTCGGACCCCTTATCGTCGGTACCTCCACAGTACTTTCCCCCCCCCAAAGTACTGGTCCATTCTACCACTCTGTACCCGCCACTACTGCCACTACCAAGGTGTATGTAAGTACCCTGACCCAGGTACCTCGCTCATGTAGAACGACTCTCTGAATACTCAACCTTTCGGAGGCAATTTCGAACTTCCCAACTACTTCACCTCTCCTGACATCCTATTCTTTTCTCCCAACTTCGCTTTCCCAGTATCGTCGTGGTTTCCTTGCTTATCGACAATTGCCTATCTACACTTCATCGGTTATCTCCGGCTTATCCAACTTAGTTGTGAGATCAATTCCCTCAATAGATGCCTGGGTTTGAAGCATAAAAAGTCACTGCTTTAGCTCCAACCGTGTGATGTGAGTAATCTGGCCGAAGCGCTACGTTCCAGCACCACCCATGTTAGTCCGGTTCGCTGATGTTTCCGACCCCAAACAGACGTCAACACTAGGCTCCATACCCGCCATACTGGTCTCAGGTCCCCATATCCTGCAATCGACATCCATTCAACCTGTCTTCCAGCGAATCCTTCGATAGACTGTAAATTCATTTCCCTTACTGGTGGGTCCTGTTCATCCCATCTCACGGCAAGGTTCCTGATAGCCTGCCGGTACCTTGGGTCGTTGTGATAACACCCTCTACGCATCATATGAGACACATGCTGACCTTGATGTCATTTGGATGGAACAGTCGTTGATGCGGCACATTGTACAAATTTGAAAAAAAAAAAATTCAAATATCGTGCAGACGCGACCCTCGGTCAATCATAAATAAGATTGACGCAATCTCTCTGCCCTTAGCAATTTCCCGCACGTCGCAACTCCCCCTCTCCGAGACCGGTAGTCAATACTCTGGTCTGTCAGGAGTTTCTGAAAACTAGAATGCTATTGGATGCTATGGTCGGACAAGATCGGGACCATAGCCCAAAAGTGGTGGACCTCGCCAGTATCCACGAAATTCCGGGAAATATGCCTGGTGAGTTTGGCTTGAGAAAATTCCCTGTGTGCAATTCTTACCCATATATTCTGTAGCTCCAAAGGAGTCAAAGAAACAGACCGACCTAAATGGTCAAACGGGTGCCAATGGCAACATTCCACCCCCTAAAACAGACAAGCCTCGGCCCCACGTCTGCACTACCTGCGGTCGCTCGTTCGCGCGATTGGAGCACCTCAAGCGCCATGAGCGCTCGCACACAAAGGAAAAGCCATTCGAGTGTCCGGATTGCGCCCGGTGCTTCGCTCGGCGCGATTTGCTCCTGCGACACCAGCAGAAGCTACACATGACCACCACGCCGTCCTCTCGACCGAGAAACGGTCGCCGTGAGAGCACCGGTGCCGCACCCGGTGCTAACCGGGTTCGCAAGAACTCCATTGCCAATAGTTCATCTGCTTCGATGCGCCCGAGGGCCAACACTATCAGCCACGTTGATGGGGCGGCATTAGGTATCCCCGGTGCTGGTAATCCGTCATCTGCGCCCACTCAATCGGGTCACGCATATCACCCCAGCCTAAGTTCTTCTGTTGGCTCAAGCATGGATTATAGGGGATTCGGCTCCGGACACCCTTCGATGAGTGGCCTTGCGAAGATCGAAACTTCCGGACTTCCCATGGACATGTCCGGAAGCCTTCGGACAGCTCCCGTGTATGGGAGCTTTGATACGGGTATCGATGGTATGCTCATGGGTCACGGTAGCACCATCAACCCGGCGCAATTACACTTCGCAGGATCCCCGCAAGGCTTCGGTGATTCACCATCCTCTCCGTTCGGCCACTACCACAATGGACTTCCACCCTCTGTGGATCCCATGATGGATGAAGACATGCACTTTGACTGGATGAACGGGTTTGATACAGGCGTGGTTATGGGAAATGGCAACGACTCGGTTATCGACGAGTCCTCACCATCGGCAATGAGCACGGGTAGCCAGAGCGGAATCAGCGAGGCTATGCTAGATGGTCCAAACCGCATTCCCATCTCCAACGGCTGGCACAACCCGTTCCCTGCCCACCACCCGGCAAACCAGTTCGCGATCGATTTTTCCCCGACGACATTGAATGATCTCGGGATCCCCCCGGAGACGGTGTCGCCCAAGTCTCTAATGGCCCAGAATCCGTTTTCTGAAACGTATGCCACCCCCCCATCTATGACTTCGGTCGGCCAGCCCATCATGGGAGGACATTCGCAGAGTATGTTTTCATCCTCTCTGCCAACCAACGGAGAATCTCCTAATCCTTTCAACCTTCCTTTCGCGAATAGTGCCCTTCGAAATGAACATTCACCAGTCTCAACGGATACATTTACAGACTCCACACGACAGGCTCTATTAGCGAGCATGTCGACCCCCACTGGCTTCAACCATCGCAAGTATTCCCAACCCGCAAGTGGACTTCTAAACAGTCGTGAGCTGTTCGCCCGCTCGACTGGCTTCAACAGCTCCGGTCAATTGCCCAGCACCTCGGACTTGCAGCGGTACATCTCGGCATACATCACCTACTTCCATCCCCACATTCCGTTTCTCCATATCCCCACACTCAATTTCCAAGCTCCTCAATACACGAACAACCTGCGCACGCCAAGCGGACACCTCAATCTCAGCTCAACCGGTGTTGCTGGAGGCGGGGGTTGTCTGATCCTCTCTATGGCGGCTATCGGTGCCCTGTATGAATATGAATCTGGCGACTCCAAGGATCTCTTTGACGCCGCGAAAAAGATGATTCAGTTGTATCTCGAAGAACGACGAAAGGCCGACATGTCTGCTGCTCTCAATCGTTCACATTCCCCCCGCGATAACTCGGTACACAACACTCCGCTTTGGCTTGTGCAAGCAATGCTCTTGAACGTGATATACGGCCACACCTGCGGTGACAAGACATCGGCAGACATTGCTAGCACGCACTGTGCTGCCTTGGTCAGCCTAGCACGCGCAGCCGAATTAACACATCATCTGGATCCTAAGAACCTGCCGCAAGATCATCTCACTGCTGGTAACAACGGTAATGATTCTCCTAGCGACACAGAAAATTGGATGTCCTCGTCATTTAGTCAACCAAAAGAGCGCCGAGATTGGTTGAATTGGAAGCTTGTGGAGGAGCGGAAACGTACCCTTTACGCTATCTTTGTTCTTTCCAGCTTCCTCGTCTCAGCCTACAATCATGCACCTGCACTCACAAATTCGGAAATCCGACTTGACCTTCCCTGTGAAGAGGATCTCTGGGCGGCTGAATCACCCCAGGCGTGGAAGCAGATGGGCGGCCAAACAGCCTCGAAGAAGACTTTGTCATTTTCTGCTGCGTTGACGTCCCTGCTGACTGCCAGCCAACGAGAGCAGACTCAATCGGCGAACCTCTTCTATAACTCCGACGATCTGTCTAATTCTGAAAACCGCCCAAGTACTTTCGGCTGCCTGGTACTCATTTACTCGTTACACAACTACATCTGGGAAACCCGCCAAAGGCACATGGGCCGACAATGGACCGCACAGGAGACTGATGCTATGCAATCCCACATCGAGCCCGCTCTACGGGCATGGCAAGCGGCATGGGCCAGCAACCCTGTCCATAGCCTGGAGCGACCGAATCCTTTCGGGGCTGGACCATTGTCTGCAGACAGCATCCCCCTTCTAGATTTGGCCTATGTTCGTTTGTTCGTCAACCTAGGCCGATGCAAAGAAGCATTCTGGCAACGCGATTGGAATGGCATGGCAGATGAGCTCGCACGAGGCACTGATATTTTCCAGCACCCGGATGCTGCAATGAACGACGTTGTGGATCCGTCTCTCACGGGTCATCTTGATACGAGACGAGACTCAATTGCTGATCTAGGAGTATCAGAGCTAGCCATATCCAGGACCCCGACACAAGAGGAGCCTATGCAGACTCTGTCCAACATCTACAAGATCGGCCAATCCAAGCGTGAAAAGCACCTGCGCAAAGCAGCATTCTACGCAGCGGATTCGATCTCCATGTCGGATCGTCTTGGTAATACATTTGCTGAGTTCTCGTCGCGCGAACTACCCATCCAGTGCGCGTTGTGTGCTTTTGATTGTGCACAGGTGCTGGCGGAGTGGATCACCACTGTCCAAGAACGTGTGGGCCCCTACCTTGGTGTCCTAGGCCGCGACGATGCCGACTTAACTCAAGTACCTGGAGTCATGTTACTAGAAGATGAGGATTGTAAGCTGGTGGACAAGATCAAGGAGATCCTGGGGAGTATTGAGATGAAAATGCAGCGCCAGGTCCAAAATGGCAATTCCATGTCCGCGATGAGCGTCATGCAACGGCTACCCAGTGTTGTGGAAGGGGGATACGGATGTAAAATATTGATTGCGACAGCTAGTCTCTTGGAAAGAGCTGCTGTCTGGCCAGGTTAGTTTCAGCGATTCCTTCAAACCTCCACGAACCAGAACGATTTTCTAACATCCACCCCCAGTGACAAAACTGATGGCCCGTTCTCTGGAAGCCCAAGCCATGCGAATGAAGGAGCGTGCCGAGCACTCCGTGATGATGACCACTTAATGACCCCCTATTACCTTGTTTGAATGTCCAATGTTTGATCCTTATCTATTTCCCCCATCTCCGAACTCCTATTTTCCATTTGCGCGCCCGTGTATCATGAATAAACAATCCAAGGCAACATCCCTATCCCATCGAAGCATGTGTATCTGCACCAATAACCCGCACCCGTTCCCCTCGCTTGGCCCTCTCGCACTATGCGTACTGCCTTTGATACCCTGCTCTGAGACTTCAATTCTGTGTCATAGACAAATTGCCTGCTCATGTCATGTCATCTTTCCCCGCTCGCTAGCGTTCATGCCTTGTTTGTATCCCCTGACTGGTGTCTTTGCTGTGGTGTGAGGATTGAATGGAGAGTACCTTTTTCTCGTTTCTTTTCACGCTGTCGAGGGTGATATCTAATCCTTTTTTGCCTGTGTGGTGTTTGATTATCCAGAGTTTTACTTCGTGTGAATATGATTTACCTTTTCTTCAAGGGTTGTTGTTACAGTACATATGTAGTATGTAGACAATTAGAACAGCTATAGCTGCCCCATGATTTTGTGATAAGAAACTACCATACTCGTACTAGAATCCACTGCTTTTGACCTAAGTAGTTTTTGAATTGGCTTGTTGCTTTGGCTGGATAATGCAAATTATGGATAAGTACTATATAGTACAGTCATGTTTCATGAGTATTTGCACCCCAGTACTTCTACCTAATGCTTTCCCTGTACTCTCTTATATCATAGCCCGTAAGCTGGAGTTTCTACCATAAATCTATGAGCGTGTATGTGAGCTTTCTAGTTACTGCTTATTACTTAAGAGGTTGAATGAAGTTTTAACAGGCAGAATGGAAGGTGGCCTGGAGCCTTTCGGAGTACTGGGGTGCAAATACTCATGAAATGCCACTGTATATGCTGTTTACTTCCAAGAAGTCTCTACGGAGTACATTGGCTCCGACTCCGGGGGAATAGATGACATAATACTTCCCCACCGCAACCCATGGACAGGTTGCTGGGGCATCAACGCGTTAAGTGGTTTTCGCGTTAAGCAGACTCATCTTTGGCAGATACATCTGCCTAGTGTCAATCACATATGGTCAACCTACCTCTGCACCGGAAATGAACACAACCTCCAAGCATCCGCCTCAAACCCCTCCATCGCAGCGTCCGACTGCCTCGGCTTCTCCACCCAATTAATCTCCGCTCGAAACTCAACCCCAATGCCCTATACACGTCCCGTCTCCCCGATCTTCCTCGAAACATGCGTGCCTTTGCCCTCCGAGCTAGATTCAGATGACCTGCTCGCCTCGGATGACGAGCTGGATGACGCTGCCCAAGCTGCAAAGTGTCAGCGGGTCGAGAAGTTAGCGGAGTCTTATCTGCAGGGCAAACCACTGTTGATTCTCTCCTCGTCGCTCCAAGGCCCGTTCAATGAGGGATGGACCAATCCATGGAAGAAGACCAGGACACGCGGAGCTGGCGCACCAACGAGGGCTTTATTGAATCGCAAAACAAATGTCCCTGAGCCGGTGGTCCAAGAAACTGATTTGCGGGCTCCAAAGTACCGAGAGGGTCTATCGGTTAGCACGCGTCGCCCAGAGATCCCTGCGACATCGCGCAACTCCCCTAGGACCTCATCGCAAACTGGAGACCGTTCCTCGCCCTCGAAATCACCGCGGAGGCAATCCAAGGAGCCCAACCCGCGCCCCAGACATGGGCAAACTGGAGCATCACGACGGTCTTCCACAAAATCAAAGGAAACGCCGCTGTCGACAGTCGATGATCGATCAATAATGCCGCCCAGGACAGTGGACTGGCTAAAGAAGGATCGGAAACTCATGAACTTCACCAAGTTCGAACCGCCGAGCTCGCCAACAATATCCGTTGCTTCTCGTCAGTTCGATAAACCTCGTCGACCGTTCCCTCGCTCTGTTCAAGTCCAGGTCCCACAGACGCCTGGCTCGCCAATAAAATGTTCCCCTGTTGATATTGTCCCAGCGAAGACAGCCCAGAGTGCCCGTGCGAACTCGAACGGGCACCTATCTCCACGGTCGACCTCAGCCGCCTCACATTCACCCAAGGTCCCTGCCGTTCCCAAATTATCACCGTTCCAACAATATCAGCAGTCCCGTTTGTCGCAGGAAGCATCTCTCCGAATCATTAACTCTTCCTCTCAGCTGCCGAGGTTTGAATATCGGAGGTGGCTCCATCAACAATCTAGTCAACTGGAGAAGAATTCTCCTATGCAAGATGAGAGTATTCTGCAAGAAGAGACTTTTTTGCAGGAGGACAGTCCCCTCAAAGAAAAATCCATAGTCGATCCCGCACCCGCCAGGCCTAGTCCCGCTAGGGACCAAGTGTTGGAACCTGCTGAACCTGAACCTTTGGCTCCTGAAGAAATAACAGTCCACAATGAGGGCCCTGCAACGAAAGATGCAAGCAACATGACTTTGTCGAAAGAAACAAGGTTCGCAGATGAGGAAGATGTTATAGATGACAATCTTGGGGTAGAGATCGCAGCAGAAGGTGTTGCCGAGGGCGAGGCTGCAGCGGAAGATGTTGCAAACGAGGAATATACATCGACACTCCACAACACAGATATCTCTGCACCAACCGAACCGAACACCTACGATGATCTCCCTTCTGCTCAACAGGTGCCAGCACCTTTGGGAGTCTCAGATCGGGTAACATCATTACACTCGACGGCTTTGCCAAGAGCAGATTCTGGACCAGATCCACAGCCAAGCCCTGATAACCAGCTTTCGACCCAGGCTGCCCTTTTGCATGCCCAGAAGTCTTTTCAAGACGACCTGGACAGTGCAGAATATTACAATCAACATACACCGGATCCGGACCGGGCAGTCCATTCCCTCAATGCTTCGCTTCACTCAGCAAATGTCACTCCATTCTACCGTCTAGATGAGTCTATTCGACGTGACCTAGAGCGGAGTTCGAGATCCATGAACAAGGACCGGATGCAAGCAATGAGCACGCAGTTCATACTTGATGCAGCTACACCTTTCAATTTCAGCACTGAGCAAGTTGGCCAAGATCGGAGCTTGAAACCTACGAACCGAAATATAACGCAATCCTTGAATACGCAATTCATGCTCGATGCAGCTACACCCTATGCTTTCAGCACAGAGAAGAGACCGCGCGCATCCCGGCCAGACTTAGGTTATCCTACAGCCAGAAGCTCCAAGAGAAAAAGGACGGCCAATGTCGGAAACCCATCCCCTCCTACTAGGAGTCAATCTACATCTCCTGACAACGAATATCACACTGCGGACGAAGAAAGCCCAGGATCAGTGGCCCAACAGTTGGGTTATCAACCAACTTTTCAATCTGCCACAGAGGTCGCGTCCTCCCCCCTCACCCTAAACGAATCGACACCAACGACAGGCCAGGATGGACAAGGTGGAATGGAGAGTTTCAACCTCAGTCAGGCAATTGCAGATGCTGGTAGTTGGCTTCAACAAAGTTTTGATTTCATGAAGGACAACGGTCGCCCAAGTCAGAATCTCAAGGCGATTCCTACTTCCGATGCGCACCCATCCCCTTTACACATGGATCTATCTCAATAATGAGAGCTCCTTGATGCTATCATGACTACCTTTTTTACTTCTTGTTCTTTCCATTTTTCCATCTTCCCATCATGCATAGCGTGTTGGAATCTCCTTGGTAGCCAAGTTGTTTCGGCTCTCATAATCTGTTTTAGCACATATTGGTACATTTTCAGCAATACATATTGATTATAGCAATTGCAGGGCTTACAATGTAGACCAGAACAAAAAGCTACAGATCATATCAGAAACGAACAATTAGAGCAAAGTAAAAGAGAACCCGTAGGTAGATACGTCAGGAACCAAGTGGCCCGAGCGCCAGCGGGGAGAGCTCCGAACATCACCTTCCACACATCTCACTCAATGAGCCGAGATGGCGCTGACATCAGTAAGAGGTCGACATTTCCTAACGATGAGAATACAGCTGACAGAAGTATCAGTGGAAAGCATTCAACTTCATCGACGTGACGCCGGTGAAGTTACCAGAGGACAGCTCCTCAATCTTCAATGTAAGGCTTCGACCTTCCTCTACTCGAGCTGCGCCGTATCTAACAATCAACCCTAGAGTGACCTCTCGAGTATCTGCACCGGCTCCGCAAACCTCTTCGTCGGCACTACCGATGGCTTCGTCCATATCGTCTCCTCGGCCTTCCGCGTCGTGCGGTCGTTCAAGGCTCACGATACCGGCTCCATTACGCACATGCGACAGATAAACGATACCGCCCTCCTCGTCACAGTCGCAGAGGATCTTTTAAACGAACCGGTTCTGAAGGTCTGGGCGCTAGATACGGAGAAGAAAGATGGTGGCCCGCGGTGCCTATCAACGGTCTCCGTGCAAAATGCTAGGAGACAGTTCCCGGTGCGTTTACATCTGAAGTGAGAATAAAAGAGGCCAACACTTACGTACAGTGGTATAGATATCGGCTTTCGCAGCCGTCGACGACCTCTCACAGGTAGCAGTGGGTTTCGCGAACGGATCCGTGACGATCATCCGAGGCGACCTAATCCACGACCGAGGCGCGCGACAACGGATCGTATTCGAGTCCGAGGAACCGATTACCGGACTCGAAACGCAAATCGGCCCCGTCACAACCCTCTACATCTCAACAACGAACCGCATTTTGACATTGGTCATCGCCGGACGAGGACAGGGACAGCCTGCGCGTGTTTTGGAAGATACGGGATGCGGCTTGGGCTGCATGACTCTGGATAAAGAAGGGGGGGATATTCTTATCGCTCGGGAGGAGGCGATCTTTACGTACGGCCCGCGTGGTCGTGGTGGGAGCTATGCGTTCGAGGGCCCAAAGACGTCTATTGATGCCTTTCGTGATTATGTGGCTCTTGTCTGTCCGCCCAAGGCTGGGACTAACAAGTCGGATCCATTAAGGAAGTACACTGCTAGTCCGGCCGAGGAGATCTTTGGCACGACTACGTTTACTCTGCTCGATACCGATCTCAAGTTCATCGCGCATAGCGAATCGCTGGTGTCACCTATGAAACGTATTTTCATGGAATGGGGTGACTTGTTTCTTCTTACAACAGATGGAAAGGTATGCGGACTCTATAATGTTGTGTTTGGTTCACTTTTAACCAGTTTTAGATCTTCCGTTATCGGGAAAAGACCCTCCAGCAAAAGCTCGAAATCTTATATGAGCGCAATCTCTACATCCTTGCTATTAATCTTGCGCAAAAGATTGGCATTGATCCGCTACAACAGAATGCCATCTACCGCAAGTATGGTGACTTTTTGTACCAGCGGGGCGACTATGATACAGCTATGCAGCAGTATCTCCGGGCCATTGATAATACTGAACCTTCTCAGGTCATTCGCAAAGTCAGTGAGGATCGGACTTTGGAATTGTTCTCTTACTAACTATTGCTGCAGTACCTGGATACCCAACGTATTCACAACTTGATTGAATATCTTGAAGAGCTACACGACCATGGCTGTGCCACGGTTGATCACACGACGCTTCTTCTGAACTGCTACGCAAAGCTCAAAGACACAAGCAAGCTAGACTCATTTATAAAAGCTCCTGGTGAGCTTAAGTTTGATCTTGAAACTGCCATTGCAATGTGTCGTCAAGGCGGATACTATGAGCAAGCGGCTTACCTTGCAACAAAGCACGGCGAGAATGACATGGTCGTTGATATCCTAATTGAAGACTCCAAGAAGTATTCCGAGGCAGTGGAGTACATCTGGAGGTTAGATCCCGAAGTGGTATGTCTTAACTGCGTCGTCTTGAGGAAACAAGCTAACCCATGCCAGGCCTATCACAATTTGATGAAATACGCTCGAGTATTGCTCACACATTGCCCTGGGCGGACGGCAGAGCTGTTCAAAGTTTACTATTCTGGCCAGTACCGGCCACACACAGAGGTAGAACAGCCATCAGAGCCTCAAGAGCAGACGACTAGCACAGTACAAAGTCTTGCTGCGCTTCTTCCTTTGCGGTATATGCATGTTGGTGCCGGCACACAAGCACCAGCTGAAACCCCTGAGCCAGCGACCAACGAAGACAAGGTTGAAGACTCCCTGCCAGATTATGAAGTCCCCAAGCCACGAACAGCCTTCTCTGCATTTGTGGATCACCCCAAAGAATTCATCGATTTTCTCGAGACTTTGGGGCAGCAGCCGGATTTGAAGAAGGATGCCAAAGTTGATCTTTTCACAACGCTGTTTGAGATGTACCTGGACACAGCAAAGGGAAAGAAGGATGCTGGCGAAAGACAGGAATGGGAGACAAAGGCCAAGAAACTAATCGAAGGAAAAGACGTGAGTTATCCCGCCGCCTATTTATCACTTCTTATATCTAACCTATATAGATCCCGATCTCCACATCCAACGTACTTCTCCTCTCCGACCTGTCAAATTTCAGGGAAGGATCTACCCTCGTTCGTGAGCAAGAAGGTCTTCGCCTCGACATTTTCCGCTCCTTCACTTCAGCAAAGGATACACAGGGCGCCATCAAAGCGCTACGCCGGTACGGGCCGGACGAGCCCCAGCTATATGTCGACGCATTGACATACTTCGCCTCGAGCCCAAAAATCCTCCAAGAAGCAGGCGACGAGCTAGACGCAGTCCTACAGCGCATCAACGAAGACGGCCTACTCTCCCCATTACAGGTGATCCAAGCGCTCAGCAACAACGCAGTAGTAACAATGGGCCGGGTGAAGAAATACCTCAGCGACAACATCGACCGCGAACGCAAAGAAATCACCACAGTAGGCTCCCTCAGTGCCCCATTCCATTCATCGAATAGCAAATCTAACCTTCTTCCCTCTACAGAACCGTCGCCTCATCACAAGCTACAAATCCGAAACCGAAACCAAACAACAAGAACTAGACCACCTCACAACCCAACCAGTAGTCTTCCAATCCCGCCGCTGCCAATCCTGCGGCGGAACCCTCGACCTCCCAACAGTCCACTTCCTCTGCAAACACTCCTTCCACGAACGCTGTCTGAACAGGCTCGATGACGACGCGCAGTGTCCTGTCTGCGCCCCGACCAACGCCACCCTGCGCGCTATCCGACAACGACAGGTTGATTCCGCAGACCAGCATGATTTGTTCAAGGGCGAGTTGTCTCGCTCGCGTGATCGATTTGGGGTTGTTAGTGAGTTCTTCGGGAGGGGTATTATGAGGCCGCAGAGTACTATGGAGTAAGATGGGTGGAATGATTGCACTTAGTTCAGATACGCTTTGTTTTTTGTTTTGGGCTTGTTTTATATGGAGCTGGTTTCATTCGTTTGATACCTCGATCTTTGTCAATTAGATCAAGTTGTTTTCTTACTGGTAAATATGGTAGATAGTAGGGATAGAAGCAGTTCTTTACATGTATCTATAGTTTCTTCCAACGTTTACTAAACCGACTGCAGGTATTTACGATCTGACGACCACTTGGAAGTACTGTGGAAAACGAGGATTATGTCCATGTAACGAATGCATTGTATAATTGAACTCGCTTCGCTTTAGCAAGTAAAAGCAGTGAGCCAGACAAAAAGGAATCATATAGACACGATAAAAATGAACAAGGCGATCACTGTAATCAAGCAATGTCATTACACGCAAGAGCAATTAATATGCACAGCGGATGGATGAGAAAATACATGAATATAGCCGAAGCAAAAGGGCTGAAGGATTAAAAACTGGGTAGCTAAATTTTCAGTATTCACTCGGAGTCTGGAGGAATGCGAGGATGTCTCTGTATGGCAGAGGATGACTGTTAGAGACGAACGCGATAGACAAGCCGAATCAAGGCATTACTATCCCATTGGCTCCTTGATATAGTAAGACGATTCAGCTGAAACAGACTCGCTTAAATATCACGTCCCTTCTCGCCTCCCCAGGAAACGCGCGGGATTTGTCGGGAAGTAGACTGGGACCCAGAGCCGGAACCGGATCCAGATCCAGATGGAGGAGACTCATCAGATGGCATGTGGTTCTTGCTAGACTCGCCATTCGCGTTATCCTCAATGTCCGAGTCTTCTTCCATAATGACATTGTCATTATCATCCGACTCCGAACCATCATCGTTCTCAGAATCGTCACCTTCCACGCCCAGCGCGGCCAGACGACGGCGACGCTCGGCTGGAGTCTCGCCTGTGTCATCGTCAACCTGGCGCGGGGGCGCGCTCAGACCAGCGGCTTGACGGAGACGCGATGGTGGGATACGCTCTGTACCATCGTCGTCGGAATCGCGGCGAGAACGGTCCCGGGTATGGGGTGGTGCAGGGCTGAGGTTGTTGCGGCGTACTTGGGCGGCGGATGGACCACCGCGACGCGAGAACTTGGCCAGTGAAGCGGCCACGTTAGGGGAACCGTGTTGGGCGCCAGGCTCGTCGTCACTGACGTCGCTATCGGTGACGGACTCGGACTCCATAGCTTCGGTGTCTTCTTCGAGGATGGCGCTGGTGCCAGCGGTGGCAGCGGCAGCGGCAGCGGAAAGGCGGCGCTCTCGCTTTCTCTCGGTATTTGCTTCTACCTTGGCTTCGTGCTGGGCCATTTCTTGAACTGGTGCCGGTGCGTCGGTTTGCTGCACCAGATCCCGGCGGGCCTTGGCGTCCAGACCCTTCATTTGCTCGAAGAATTCTTGCTTGTTCATGCGTCGGCCCTTGTGGCCGATGCCTTGAGAGTCGACTTTGGGGTCCTGGGCCAAAGTGAATCGAATGCCGTCGTCGGCGGTCCAATCGTCATCCTTCTTCTTACCCTGGGCAGCCTGGGAGGATTCGCCTTCTTCCTCCATGCCGAACCAGGTTCCCATGCGCGTCAGACCACGTCGGACAGGTGCTTCACCAGGAACTGTGGGCTCCTTCTGGGCCTTTTCGCCCTTCTCGGCCTTCTTGCTGTCGGGAAGGGTATACTTCTTGATCACCTCACCATCCTCATCCTCAACAATAATAGTATTGCCGAATTGGTATGCATGAGCGGAACGAGGTTTGGGCTTTGCTGAGTCGGCCTTCGGGGGCTTTTCTGCCTTGTCGGGCTTCTCTCCATCCACTGGCTGATCTGTACCCCGATGCTTTCCAAGTCCGGTCCAGTTGGACCACTTCTTGAAAGCCTTTCCATATGACGTACCAGCTTTATCCTCAACAGCGTGCTTGACTTCCTCTCCCTCGGTCTTCGCGTGAGGTTGACTCTGAGAGGCTGCGAACTCTCCTGATTTATCATTTTCCAGACGCTTGCGTTGCGCTTCAATGTGCGCGATCTTCTCTTCCGGAGACAAATGAGAGGTATCCTCAGTCGCGAGAACATTGCCCTCTTCATCCTCGATGATCATGTTATGGCCCTCTTGATAAACCTCGAGCTGTGGCTCACGGCCGAAGCGATCCCGCTCGGCATGAGGTGGAGAAGCTTCACGCTCAACCTGGTCGCGCTCTTCGAGTTCTTTCTTTTCTTCTTCGGTCTCGGCCCCGCCCTCGGTTCGCCGAGGAGCGGGCATAATAGCAGACTGGCTAATTGGGCCTCCGCCACCGGCAGCGTGCTTACGGCGACGTCTCCGCAACGGCTTGCGACGCGAAGACTCGAGGCTTTGTGACTCACTATCTCCCTCCTCATCGCGTTGCCGGCGGAGGAAGTTGCCAGGCATGCCGATGGGCGGTAAGGTACCAGGAGGATACTCAGGAAGCTTTTCGTCCGATGAGGCATCCGTATCATCCGTCTTACGGAATGACATGGACCCCTTGGCAATTGACTGCACACGGGGCAGACGGTTCATCCATGAAGGTCCATCCTCGTTGGCCTGTGTGTAGGATAGGGTGATAGTCAAGGTGTTGATGCGTTTACCTAGAGTGAAGACTGCAATAGACGAGCCATGCACCAGAATGGACGTGATGACCATGAATGTAGTGATAGGCCAAATCAGCCTGACAACATAGTAATTGCTGCTTCCGGGCTGTGGGAGCTCGTTTTCAGGTGACGGTTGTGTGTTGTCGTGCTCCAGCTCTGCTCGAGCGAGCATGGCGGCAAAAATGGCACCGACACCGATAGGACCGAAATGCCCTGCGAATAACGCTTCTCGCCAGGTTTTGACGTCCGGTATTATCGGCTTGAGCATTAGCATGATAGGGATACGTCGGAAAAAGAGGACCAATATCGCAATCACCACCAGCCGCCAAGGAGTAAGGCCCAGCTCGGGGGAGTTGAAGTCCTCCCAGGGAATGATGGATCCAAAGTAGACAAAATATGCCAAGTTAAGGAGAAGATCGATAACGTTGGAGACATGAGATTCCTCTGTCTTCTCCGTAAACCAACCATCGTTACTGAACCCAACACCACAAGCAAATCCAATCAGCAGATCGTCCATGCCCAGCAAAGCACCTGAGCCAGCACAGAAGACAGCCAGCACAAAGTAGAACACCAAGAAACTCTCCCGATCGATCAATCCCTTGCGCTCAGCCCACTTGATAGCATGGCGAGCAATGTAGCCGATGGTGAAGCCGAAAATAGCACCTAAAATACACTCATACAGAACGGTGATACAGAACCAGTTCAGCCACACCTCACCGACATTAGGGCGATAGTGATAGATGTAGAAGGCCAGATAGATGAATGGGAAAGCCATGCCATCGTTACACCCGGACTCCGCAGACAACAAGTCACGCAAATGCTTGGGGACACGCTTGGCAAACTTTCCTTTACCAACGACCGACGATGCCAAGACAGGATCGGTAGCCGTCACACAGGCAGAACATACCAGAGCTTCCAGCCAGTTCAGTGGAGGTACCATCCACCAGATGAACAAACTAGTGATTAGCCAACCCCAGGTCATGACGGGGATCAGCAGCAAGGAAACAGACTTCCAATGACGCTCCATGTAGGCCTTGGGCAATTCTACGCCGACGGCAAAACATTGCACGACCAGGACGATTCGCGAGCACTCGAGGGTGATCTTGTCGATATTTCCCCATTCGTGCGGATTGAATAGGTTGGCCGCATGGGGGCCGAAAATGATACCACAGAGGGTGGCTACGGTGGCTTCACCGATGTATAGCTTCTCCTTGACAAACAAAGAGCATAGCATGAACAGGCCTGTGAAACCTCCTAGGATCATGTAAGCCAAATGCGGCCGATCAATGTCCAGATGATCCCACGCCATAGTGAAGATGTCGGTGATTGAACACCAATTGTATTATCCGGGAACTTTTGTATGAATCCGTCCCGGGCTGTACCGCGAGCGATTTACCGGATGACTTCCGCGCTCGAACTTCGTGGGTCCGCGTAGCTCTTCATGCCTTGGTGAATCGGTGATCGAAAAGCCGAATTGCCGAGACCTGTAGGGCTGAGGTTTCGCGATCCAGGCGCACGTCCGACAGATCTGGGGGGTGAATGATAGTACCGATTCTGTGGGGTGCTGGGCCAAGATCTTGGGGAGGCCACTGGGAGGCGGAGGCGAAGCTGAGAGGTTGAAAAAAAAAAAAAGAACTTTGGCTTGGCCACAGGGAAGGCAGGCGCAGATTCGGATTGTAAGGGTGAGAAAGGAGAAGGAAAAAAAAATCAACAAGAGCGAAATTCGGTCAGAGTCTTGGGAGCTCTTGGCCAAGCAGAAGAAAGCGAGTGAACGCGCGCTTTGGGAGATTTGCCCAGAACGAAGTATTCTTGGAAACGGCGGGATTCGTCAGCCGAGACTTTCAAGACCCACGTTGGCGGAATTAGTCTTGGCTGGCGGAGAAAGGACGTGCGCCAATAGATATAAGGGAAATGGTATAGACGGAGTAGATAGAAGAGAAAGATAGAAGTATATATCAAATCAACATTGAATTGCATATCCGATGCGTCTCTCACATGTGCAGAGTAATATTCCGGTGTATTGTAATGGTATTGTAATGATCGGCCTTACCAGGTGCCAAGACCGAAATCAAGGATCATCGCGATGGATTGGGTCAGTGGCGTATATGGAGCAGTGGGGAATTGATAGGGCAGGGCGTAGCTAGTTTACGGACTAGTATCTTCGTATACACAAGGAATTTACGTATACGAGTTTTATAACTTACCTAATGTCTGGGAATGGTATGTGAGACTTTACTATGTGCATACATGTAGAGCTTTGAGAATAACAATCAAATTGGGAATTATGTAAAAGCAAAACAGTGAACTTTCAGGGGGAATTTGATGCTGAGAATCCAACACCGTGAAAAATATACGAAGGATTCCCCGGGGAAACATGGATAAAAAGATAAAAGCAGACATTGAAGTGGGCACAATATGCACACTGCGCGTACCGCGCACCCCGCGTGCCCCCAATAAAGACGGTTCAAAGATTTCCAAGTCCGGGCTGGTATGTACGATGTACGATGAGTGACGAGGCGCAATGCTGCCCAGCTAAATGCCCGTCGGCATCCTCTCAACCTCGTCGCTCAAGCCACGCCAGTTCTCCGCCTGCAGTTCAGAGTACTTGACACGCTCCTGGCTCCAGTCCTGGTGCAGCCGGCTGATGTGATACTGGCTTTGCTGGAAGTGGACGAGTTCGTCGCGGATACATTCTGTGATGAAGACGCCCCGGGCATGCTGTTGCACAATGGATTCTTTGTCCTAGTAGATCACTAAAGTTAGTATGACTGTGGGTGCCATTGAAATACGCAGTCTTACCTTGAAGATAGAATCCTCCACCTTCTCGATCTCTCCGGGCTTTACTGTGCCCGAGGGTCGGGCACGTAGGTCCTGCAGCTTCTGCTCATTGGTCTCAATGCGCCGTTCCAGCTGCGCAATGTTGTTCCGTGCATACCGATCCCTCCGATCGAACATTTCGCGCACACTGACCAAGCAATCGCGTTGCCGCTTGAGATCTTCTAGGACCCCCTCGGTCCACCCTCTGGCTTCGTCTTCCAATAAACTTTGGCTGGCAGAGAGATGCCGAGCAGTAGCTGTGATACCTGCATTAAGGGACGGAATGTCATTGGTATCCACTGCATAGGTGTCTTTGGTGGCTTCCGTCAAGGACTGCAGGGCGAGGGAGAACCGGAGGTGGTCAGCAGCCAGACCGTCATTGCGCTTAGCCAATCGCTCAAGCAAAGTGCAAAGATTAATATAGATTTCCGCGGAATGCTTGACACCGCTGCGAACTTTTTCAAACGTTTCGTCGAGAGTAGCGGGTAGTGAGTCTTCAAGATCCGGTGGGAGGATGCGGCCAGCAAACTCGTCTTGAACTGATATTGTGGCTTGCTTTCGCCACACCGAAAGTTCCTATATTTACAGTTATTGTCTACCCCGACTAGGATACCCCAAACCCCAAAAGGGAGCTTACTGTTGGAACTGTCAAGAACATGATCACGAGCTGCTCTTGACCAAGGACGGGATGGCGAACGAGGGCGTTGGTGAACCGAACAAGTCCGTGCCGGCGCTTTTCAAGAAATGAGGATGAATCCGCTGAAAGGTGAGTGCCATTTACTTCATAATTGTGAGTAAGAAATTAGGAGCGCTAAACCAGCGTTGTACATACCTGAAACCCGCTTCGGGGGAAGAAGAGGCAATTGCCGGAAAGGAAATCGCTTTTGGAGGCAGTCCAATAGCCAGACAAAATCACTATAACGCCGAATAACTGTGCTACCTCTCCGTGCAGACTTGACCTCGTAGTTTCGGTGTTGAAACATGAACAAGCCTTCTTTCTCCGGGAGCAACGCGACGGCAACGCTCTCCTCTACCTGTGGGTTTGTCGGTCGGCTGAGACCAAAGGACCGACGCCGTGGTGTGATGTTGCTGGGCTCATCCAGCGCAGGACCAAATCCACCTAGTGCCGGAGGCACTATGCCCCCAAAACTGCTTTCATCGCTCGGTCCCACTCCGCTGAAGTTATTGTTCCCCCATCCAGACCCAGCGCTGCTAGGCGGCGCAGCCTCCGTATGGCCATTGGAATGCTCCCGTTGAACCACGTTAGTTTGTGGGGTGTCTTCAACCGCCTTGCTAGACCAGGCGTTCGTCGTGGATCTCACACTACTGAATCCATTCAATATACGTGGTTCGGCAGCTCCTGTCTCATGGTTGTGACCGCGGTGTAGTTGTGGACTGCCCCATGGATCTGACTCTAATCCTCCCAATGACTCTCGTCGTGACCTATGCGAGTATGCGGAACCGGGGGTTTGTAAGGGAGGTTGGGAAGGAGGGGTATCAGGTCGCTGGTGTGGTTGTCCAGAGCTCGCGTCGCCGGTCGTTCGTAGACTGTCGAGGTAGCCACTACTAGGCTGGGGTAATTCTGTATTGGCTCCACGTTAGAGTGATTATCCCGAATAATAAATGAAGAATAGCAAAGGGCGCAAAGTCAACTCACTATTACGGCGGTCGTCGACTGCATCAAAGGAGAGGTCATCGCCTTCTTGCGCTAGGCCGACCAGCGCCAATAGCACATTAAACTCGCCGCGACCGAGTCCACTAAAACTTTCATGATCACCAGAAGCAACTAGGTTGAGAATTTTGCCTTGGTCGGTCGCAGTGAGCCCGCTGCTTGAAAGAATCTCCCGAACAGAGGTCAACCCAATGCCGGAGCCAACTCTATCCCCGCTGTTCAGAATCAGGTCGTATGCGTCGATATAGCTCTCAGGCACGTCCGTATTGGGAAGCAGGGTGCGAACCAAATCGCGCCGTGCAGTTCTTTTGGCGGTATTTTTTTGGGCATTCCAAGGAGAGCTGTCGTCGCCGTCGTCATCGGCGAACAGCGAGGAGCCGCCCGTAGCCGGTTCGTCGGCAAAAAGCGAGGGCTTGGATCTGGCAGGATCTCCCGCCGAGGGGGCCTCTGGAGATGTGCCGAATAAGGACATGAGGAAACCGTGGTGTTTGCACCAGGAGAGCGGTCGGGGGATCAGGTGTGGAGGTGATGGCAATGACGATGTTGGACGATCAAGCGGAGCTCCCGAGGGGGCTGAATATCACGAGCCCCTCGAAAAAGGAAAAACTCAAAAAAACAACACAGCGCTAGAGACACTTGAATTTTTCTTTTTTTCCTCAAGAAAGATGAGACGCAAATAAGGAATTGAGTAATGCGTGAGAGATAAGAGATCCAATGGGTACGGCAGTCTATTACCGCCAGTGCGCCAGTTTTTGCCTGTAGGTTATATGAGTATTGTATACCACTCACCATTTCTATATATCGAAAATTCAAGTCGAATTCCTGGAATTCTTATCGAACTACATGGATTTACGATGCCCAAATCTATACTTCTATCACATATTATATATAGAAAAGTCGGTTTACACATACTATTTTCACTATTTTATATTTTACGGTTCCTCTTATCTTTCCAGCTGTAAAACACATAACGAAATACCTAAAAAGTGGCATCAAAAAGGATACCTAAGAGGACTACATAAGAAGACCACTCAAAAGATCATGCAAAAAGGGTCAAACTTGATGAGGAAATGCGGAAATCGGAAGTGACTGATTGTAATAGACTTAATAGGCTCTTATAATGGGGCCAAGAGAAATGTATTCGGACGGTGATGGCCTTGCCTAAATAGTATTCTGCTATATCTTCGTCTGGAGCAACATCAAGTGTAGTATGTGAGGTTGGATCGGATTTATCCTCATGACTTTGCTTGGAACTTTTCGAATCTGGGGACATTGCTGCTAGGGAATCCACACACCAAGTACTCTCTTATTCGCCTTATGGCTCAAGTCCACTTATTTGACGTTTTCAAGAGAGAGAAAACGAGACGGAAACGTGTAGAGAGGGACTGCCTCTTTCAATGCCAAAGAAAGTCTCGGGCTCCCCTTCTCACATCTCTTCCTACATCTCTTCCTACATCCCTTTTTACATCACCATCACGGAATTTGACATACCTCTCCTCTTTTCCTCATAATGGCATCTTCTGAAGATACACTTCTCTTTCCTACATTGGCATTCGAGAACCTTCAACTCACCAAAGTTGGAAGCATGTTCTCTCTTACCCAAACTCACATGAACTGGGTACAATTTCGGGCTTCGTTCGAGCTTCCCCTCGATTGCAGTAAGGCTGTGTAAAATATACTGGAGTTACATGCGGACCTACTTATAGGATGACGATAAATGGCAGTCAGTCCGTACTGTCTTCGATCGTTTGCCGAACTTGATTTTGTGTTGGGCTATCTGGGACCCAGCTATATGTCTGACAGTTGTATATCCAGTACTCCTTCAACAATAACAGCATCGCTCACAATTTGCTTTGGCTTTTCTGTGCGGTATTGGAAAGTCACCACCGGCTGTTGTGCCGTTGGTGGCTCGTTGCCCGGCGGGTGATCAATCGTGTCACCATCGACTTGGGTTGCCATGCCAAGATAGGAGGGCTGACATCTCACACGCTGTGGGAGGGTTATGGAGGGCGATGGTTGTGGGAGATCAGTAGTGCGCTTGAATACTTTGCCGACCATCTCTCAACTAGGTTGAGGGTCCAGTTCTGGATTTTTGGAGAGTGTATGGGTGTTTCTGAAATACTCAAGATATGCTTGGAGCTGGGGAAGTTGTTCCTTGAGATGCGAGACTGTGGTTGATGTTGCCGCATTAAATGGAGAGCATTTGTTCGCAATATTTCGGCTGTACTATAAGGCTGTCGTAGAATACATTCGGCGTAATGGGTGGGGAGAATGGTCGAGAGAAGCCCCAGCGTCCGTACACTGAACAATCTGGGCACGGTGGATTGAGGATTGGGCATTCAGTTGAGGAACGACATTTTTATAGAAAAGGGTTGAGATATATACAGCAAACAAAGGGAAAGAAGCTGGAAGAGAGAAACGAAGTAATTGTATCGAGGTTCTACTTAAGTTCCCACTCTGAACCTTTAATTTTCTCTTACTTTTCCTTACGCTTGTTGGACCGATGAATCCGGTGAAGGTGACAGCACATCTGATATGAGTATGAAGGTTGACCTTGTTTTTGCTGCGCAAGGGGGATGCTATCGTTTTATCGTCAATCTGAGACCCCATCCATAGCTTGATCCATCATTACTATGTGTCTGCGGGGCCAGTTTTCTAATCAAACATGAAACTGGTTTATCGAACATGGAACATCGGATGGCTGCTCCGACATTGGAGCTTCATTAGACATTCCTTGTCACGGGTTGTACACGGAAGGACCTCCCGGTGGCTAGTATACCTAGCTCATGCATGAATATCATATTTAACAGCTTATCTGCTGGTGTGTTGGCAAATTGTTCTTGCTTTAAGATTCGCCGAAATTTGTAATTCTCTTTTTTCCCCAACACAATATGCGTCCTGTTACTATTACCCGGGGAGCGAGGCTCAATTGGCTGAGACCTCGCGCTCTAAATGGACCTTCAAGGCGATACTTGACTATGCTGAGCCCTCCCAAGTTCGAAAATGAAAAGATGGTGAGAACCTTGGAAATACCCAAGTATGCAACTGAATTTGGACTAACAGCAAATCAGCTCAACTACGCGAAAGGCTCTCCAGAAAGAGAGGAGTTGACCAAGTGTATTAAGAGACTCAAGGGACAGTTCCCTTTTACAATTCCTATCACTATTAATGGATCAGAGGTATGTGAGAACAACAAATACCAATCAAGGACATTCAACCAACATAAATGTGTAGATCACGACGAAAGAATCCCGCTCCCAACCAAACCCCTCAAAGCACAGCGAGGTTGTCGCAAATTACGCCTCTGCCACCCCAGAGCAAGTCAATGCATCCATCGACGCAGCCCTCAGTGCAAAGCCCACATGGGAAGCTACCCCCTTTGAAGACCGCGCCGCCATCTTCCTTCGAGCCGCCGAACTTGTCACTGGCAAGTATCGTTCAGAAATAGTTGCAGCCACCATGCTGGGCCAAGGAAAGAACATCTGGCAAGCAGAGATCGATGCCGCTGCCGAAACAGCTGATTTCTTCCGTCACTACATCCAAGAGGCATGGGCGCTGTTTTCCCAGCAACCTAGGGTCCACCTCGATGGAACCTGGAACAAGATGGAGTACCGCCCGCTTGAAGGTTTCACGTACGCCATTGCTCCTTTTAACTTCACTGCACTCGGTGCAACGCTTATTGGACCTGCTGCATTGCTTGGCAATGTCGTTATCTGGAAGCCTTCGGATGCGGCACTCCATGCTAGCTGGCTGCTTCATCAAATTTTGCTTGAGGCCGGTCTGCCCAAGGATGTTGTCCAATTTTTGCCTGGTGATGCCGAGCGAATTACCAACACTGTCCTCGGGAGACCTGAATTTGGAGCGCTGACATTCATTGGGGCCACTGCTACGTTCAAGGGCATCCAAAAGAAGATAGGCGACGGTATTGGTGCCGGTATCTATAACTCCTACCCTCGAGTGGTCGGCGAGACTGGCGGCAAGAACTGGGGTGTCGTCCACCCATCCGCAGATGTGAAGAGCGCGGCTTTGAACACCATTCGCGCAGCCTTTGAATACCAGGGTCAGAAGTGCTCCGCCAACTCGCGTGTTTACGTTGCAGAGTCTGTCTGGCCTGAGTTCCAAAAGGTCCTGGTAGAAGAAACTACAGCTCTTAAGGTGGGAGATGTCGAAGACTATAGCAATTTCATCAACCCAGTTATTCACGAGCGCTCATTTGACAAGCTCAACAGCTTCATTGAGGAAGCAAAGAACGACTCCGATCTAGAGCTTATCGTTGGTGGAAAGGCCTCCAAAGCAGAGGGCTATTACGTGCATCCCACTGTCTATCGGACCTCCAACCCCCACCACAAGATTTTGTCCGAGGAGCTGTTTGGACCCATCCTTGGCATCTATGTTTACCCAGATGCTGAATGGGAGCAGACTTTGAAGCTGGTTGACACAACCTCTCGCTACGCATTGACGGGAAGTATCTTCGCCAAAGACCCCTATGTCAGCCGCCAGGCGCAGACTATTCTCAAGCACGCCGCTGGTATGCTCTATTTAAATACAAAGTGCACTGGCTCTACTGTGGCTCAGCAGCCGTTCGGTGGTAGCCGCGACTCAGGTACAAACGACAAGACTGGCACTATGGCACACCTGCAGCGATTTGTTAGCGTTCGCACAATCAAGGAAGAGTTTGTGCCTCTGGAAAAAGTCACATATCCTTCGAATGAGGTTTAAGAAGGCGGGAAATTTTAGATATACCTTATGCTTTTTGAGCAATATAAATTGAACTTATATATCCTTGCATGTGAATGCAAAGTTCTTCACTGCTCGTGAGTAGTACAAGAGTCGGAAGAATACCCTCCATAGTCCTTCTCATAATACCCAACACATCAAGTATATATTGGCCCTTGTTGCACCTACGCTACATAGGATTCTACATAAAGATTGCAGGACAACTCTGGCGACGGCTAGTATAGCTACTATGCTGTTTGATTTTGGAATCGGCTTGCCTTGGAACAAACCCAAAGGACCACGGAGTGCTAAAATACGTGGCTGCGTATGTTGTAGTCCTAGTTGTGCTTGTAGAAATAGGATAATCTGAAAACAACATTAGAGACTCAACATATAAGATGCTACTTAATGTCTTTTATGTTCTTTTTATGTCATTTGATATATGTTTCCTTTTCTCATGTGCACGTTAGTGAGAGGACGCAAGTATATTCTGATACCTACCATACTATTAGCGATAGAGCTTTTAAGATTGTGTCCCGGGGTGTGAAAAGGACTTCTGATATCGCCAGATAGCACTGAAGATTAACATATGAACCGAATCACCAAAGCAAAAGATATGAGGGCCTGGGAACACTGAAAATTAGATAGTGTACCGTAAGACCGCCACTGGCCAACCACATCTAGAGATATCTATCTACGAAACGTAATGAAAACCAACAGTGCAACCTCAAACCGGACCGGGGCTGGAGGCAGAGCAATGATAACGCATGTAGCTGCATCCCCTAGCCATTCAGAGATGGCACAAATTCCCGTGGAGGCACAGATGAGTTAGCATCGCGGGACATGATTCCTGGTACGCGGACCCCTCCATCGGAGGACGACTCCGATCGAAGAATACCGGCTGACCATCGATGATCGGATAGTTGGGTAGGTAGTAGCGGTCTGATAAAGTAATACAGAGACCATAGAAGGAGTGTTTGATTCATATAGTGTTCCGTGGTAGCGACCTGGGTTGAAGGAAATCTAGTGCAATCCTTGAACTCTTTCATATAAAACAGAACTCTCACGTTGAACTTGTTCTTGACTCAAGCCAAAATGTTACCTCGTTCTATTCTCATGAGACCCCCTCATGGATTCTCAGTCCAAATCTCACCGACATTAGTTCGACTTCATTCCACAAAATCCCACTTCCATGATACCGCTGTCATGCCAGCAATCAAACGGCCTGTCGAGGTCTCATCGATGGCCCGAATTCCGACGAGACTACTACTACGGTCTTTGCTTTTGACTTCCTTGATGACATCCAAGTTATTCTTACGACCTGCTCTAGCCATGATGGGCGTTATTGCGACATCCAAATCCCCATTATTAAACCCAGATCGGAACCTCCCCTTAAACAAGTTCCTTCGCTGGACGGTTTACAATCACTTTTGTGCTGGAGTGAACAGAAAAGAAGTTTCGAAGACTGTGGCAGACGTTAAGAAGATGGGATACCAGGGCGTCATCTTGGGATATTCGAGAGAGATAGTGCTGAATCATGACGAAAAACTCTCGACCGATGAGTTTGGCACATCACAATACAGCGATAAATGCTATGAGATGGTCGAAGAGTGGAAGGAGGGAACACTGGAGACGCTGCGTATGGTTGGGCCGGGTGACTTCCTTGCCGTGAAGTAAGTAGTGAAGCTATGGATTCTTGTCCTACAGAAACTAACATTCTGTTCTCAGATTGACAGGTGCCGGCCCTATTTCAGTGGATGCGATGGCAGCACGCCAGCCTATGCCGGACGCTATGGTCAAAGCCGTGGATGAGATTTGCATTGAGACCGAAAAGCAGGGCTCACGTCTCTGGTTGGATGCAGAGCAACAAGTCTTGCAAAAAGGCCTTGATGACTGGGCCATTGAGACAATGCGCAAACATAACAAATCTGAAACACCAATTGTTTACAACACTATTCAGGGCTATCTCAAGGGGTCAAAAGCGAACCTCGACCATCATCTTACCATGGCCGCACAAGAGGGCTGGTCTCTGGGTATCAAGCTGGTTCGAGGGGCATATATTGAGCATGAAACACGATCTCTCATCCATGATACTCAGGCTGACACAGATCAGTCCTACGACCTCATTGCAGACAGCATGCTTTGCCGAAGAATGCCTGCTGGGAAGGAGAACCTCCCATTCCCTAAGGCCGCTCTTTTCCTCGCCACCCACAACGCCGCCAGTGCGACCAAAGCAATTACCACGCAACAGGATAGGCTTCTCGCCAATCAGCCTACAGTCATGCTGGAATGTGGACAAATCCAGGGCATGGCCGACGAGCTCAGTTGTCAACTGGTACAAAACTACGAACGTGCTCTCGAACAATCATCTGCTGCCAACTTGACAGTTCCAAAAGCTTTCAAGTGCATGGCTTGGGGCTCAGTCGCCGAGTGCATGGGCTATCTACACCGCCGAGCAATCGAGAATCGAGGGGCGGTGGAACGAACACAACACATGGTGACCGCATTACGTCGAGAGTTGTGGCGAAGGATCGTCGGATGAGTTCCGAAGATATTTTAGTGGCTACAAAGTAGATACCCAATGCACAAGATAACCAATCAAATTGTTGATACACACTAAAGACATGCATACTTCATGCACGAATCCAAACCGATCCAATCCCGTTAGGGTCTCACCAATCATGTGATGGCTCGTGATCGAGTGCGCTGTTATCTCGCTCCTATCTCCGATAAGGAAAGTCGGAAGGGCATCCCGACTGATTGTACCACTCATCTCATCTCTACCCCGCACTCTGCAAGGCAATTGATATCGGAGAGTCGCCCCGGAAGCACAGACTAGTTTCATAATTGTTCTATACACCGTCTCGGTTTCCTAATCCGGCATGCCTGCAACACAAAGCCAGACAAGAACCAAAAAGTGCCAGAGGGCGTGAGTCAGAATCTAGATCGGCCCGGTAGTAGAATACCCAACTTACATTTTATAAAGCTGTGAGCGATGTCGGTCAATGAAGGTCAAATGCTCAGGGATTAGTCCTTGCACAAGATGTGCGCGGAAGAAGAAGAATTGCCACTTTCCGGTGGAGGATGTGCGCGTCTCCGTGTCGGAGCGGTGAGTAGTTTAACTGTAACTGGCTCCACTGTACGTGCTAATGTGTAATAGGTACTTGCGAGAACTTGAGGAACACCTATCCAGAAGCGGAAACCAGGCGCGACACGGGCCCTTGGCACCTCTTGACCACAGTCCTCTAGGAGGTACACTGTTTACAGCCGATGAAAATAGTGATGTCCCTCCAACTCCTCAAGCATCTAGCACTTTGCTAGACAACCAGGCAGATGTTGGATGGCGCTCAATGTCAATTGGTATGCTGTGACCATTCCATGAATGTGTGTTTCGTGTGTTGATCGTGATTGGCTTTAAGGGATGGGACCACCTCTGCATACTCCAGGGACCCCTCCGAGAGAGCAGGAGACCGACAATGTTGCCGAACAAGACTATCACCGATCAAGATTTTCTCGGAATCCTTTGGTTGACCGAGATCCATCCTTTGCCCAGACACCAGATGGGCGATTTTGTGAGTGTTTAGTATATTGTCTCGAGTTAGCTCATCACTGACTCGGATATCGAAGGGTACATGGGGCCGACATCGTCGTGGTCTTTTTGTCGTCGTGTCCTTGCTCTGATAGGGCGAAAGGTGCCCGAATCAAACTGTCCACCAGATCCATTTCATATTGATGGCGTGGCTTTCAAGTTGACCTGGCGACCATATCCTCCAGATGAGGTACCTGATGTCACTAATCTGCCACCGTTGGACTATGCACTGTTCCTATTCAACACAGTCAAGTTCTATTTTGGCTTTCTCTCCTTTATGATTGATGAAGAGGCTTATTTGCAGCATCTGCATGCGTTCTACCGGGACCCCCCAGCGAAAGCTGCTTCCAATAGACCTTGGTATTGTCAATACTTACTTGTTCTTGCCTTCGGAAAAGCATTCCTGACACAGAAGAATCCTTCTGGGCCACCGCCTGGCCATCAATACGCCTCTCGGGCCATGGCTCTATTGCCTGATTTGTCAGGAGTTGACCAAGATCCCTTGGGCTGTATCCAAGCACTAAGCCTAGGGGCGGTGTATCTTCAGTCAATAGATATGAGAAGGGCGGCCTTCCAACATGTGAGTCTTTTTATGTCACGTTGATACTACATTATCTAACTATGCCAACAGATTGGGCATGCCTTACGAGGCTGTATTATCGAAGGAATACATAGGCATGTACCGGAGGAGATATGTGGACCGGAGCTCTCCAAACGATGCAGAACAATATTTTGGGTGGTTTACATGTTGGACCGAGAATTCTCCGCTTTAATTGGTGCCCCGAGCTCAATCAGGGATGAGGATATCACGGTTAAATTGCCAGCTGAGATGGATAATTCAGTAGAACATGTTAATTTGACGTTGCATGTTCGGCTTGCCCGGCTCATGGCCACGATTCTAACAAGTGAGTCTTTTGGTTGATTGGCATTGGATAATTCTAACAAAATCTAGCCGTCTACGGGGTTGGAAACGATTTTGATGATACGCTCGTTCGAAGTACACAGTCCATTCTTCACAGCATTGCCGATCTTTCATACGACCTAACTGCCTTTTTAAATGCCCATTTCCACGGGTTAGTTAGCCGTGCCTCGAAAATGGCGATTCGATTGATGCTGGCTCATCATCACGTGGGTACACTCCGAACTCCTGATCTCGTGATGAGCTAACAGCAGTAGTGCGTGGTACTTACAACAAGACCGTTAGTGATGTGTGCACTTCATATGCACATTGAACGAACAGAGAGACAAAAGTCTCAAACGATTGGTTTAGCACCGCCTGTTGCATCCCTGTTACAATGCTGCGCCGATTCCGCCCAGACTATCCTTCAGACCCTTCGTACTCTAGCTGATGATGACCTAATGGGTATGATATACTAGCTGTGCCTAAAGACCCATAATACTAATTGCAACCTACAGACGCATTCTTACCGTTCCAAATCGAAGACGCATCGTCCTCTGCGTTTGTTCTATACCTAATTCGTGCAATTGCCCCATCAGTGATCTCGAACGATACTTGGTGCGACAACTTGGCACTAGTGCTCGATAAACTCATTTCAAAGGGTAATCTAGCTGCACCCCTTCGCAGGCTTGAGCTCAAGCAATTGGAGCAAATACTCGCACCTATCACACCCAAACTGGCAAATCACCATCTGCCGCAAGTCAACATGGATGAAGGCAACGAAATCAACGAAGAACCTTATGCCTTCGATCACGACGAGTTTGAGTGGGATCTACTAGGACTCAATTCATCTGCCACTATTCCCCCGCGAGAGTTACTGGATCTTGCAGATCAATTAGATGTGGAGGGGATCATGCAATCTGTTGGGGTTTGATGCCCTGCCACTATTTAAACAAATGTACGACTTTTTACGAGCATTCATGAAGTTCATACATAATTGTAGAACAAGCCGGCTTTCTATATCAGAGAGATAGATTATAGAAATTCCTGGTTTTTCGTTTTCTTTCTATGCTGGCTACACTTTTATTAACCATCAAACATTCGAAAACCTTACTAAACATCAGAGCCTGCATTCTGATTTGCGTCAATCAGTTCTTCCAATTTGTGGGACTGGAGGAACTTCTTGAAAGTAATCGGGGTAACATCAGGATATTTGGAGTTGTCCAAATCCTTCTTCAGATACGTTTGACCGTTGAGGCAGTAGTATTGATAAAACCTAGTGAGATCATTCAGTCCGGTCAATTCATTCAACTTGGACGGGCACTTGAACTTACATCGCGAGGTATGCAAAGATGTTTGAGGGATCCTGCTTGTATGTTGCATGCATGGTGGTGTAGAGGTCGTCGAGAGATCCTCGCAAGTCGAGCTCAAGCTTCTTTCCGTATACTTCGGCGAACTCATCAGCAATCTCACGGCTTGTTTTCCGATCACCGAGGACTATATTTAATGCAGTCACAGTCAGCAAGTGTATTTCGTCTAGGGTAAATGCAATCTTGACTTACACTGCAGTACACCAACTGCGTTTGGATCTCTTGCCACAGCAGCCACATACTGAGCAGCAGTATCATAAGTTGTGGACTCCCAGATTTCATTGCCAGTCCCGTACAAGACGAGCTTGCACTCCTCTGGCTTCCACATGCCAAAGTACCCACTCCAGAATGTTTCCATGAAAATGCCAATCAGGATATGAACACCCTGGACATCTTTCTTTTCTTCCAAGTATGCCATGACATGCTTCATTGGATCCTTTGGAGGAAGCTGGCCGTATTCCAGGTTCGGGAAGTTCAGGCTATAGTCGCTGGCGATGTAGCGGCCGACCTTCTCCAGTTCGCACGCATCAACAAGCAACTTCTGACCCTCGGTCATGAGGTTGTTGTCTCCGAGGTAGCAACAGATCACAACATCACAGCCGCGGACAAATGTACGCAGAGTGTCAAAATCAGTAGATTCGCCTTGGAAAATGGTCACGCCAGGCGAGTCACGAAGACTCTCCGGAACCTTCGAAGGATTGCGGCATAGCCCGCGAATTTGGACATCCGGCGAGGTGCGAAGATGCTTCACAACCAGACGGGCAAACTTGCCGGTGATGCCAGCAATTCCAACTGTAAGTGCCATTGTTATGGGGTTTAGGAGAAGTTTAAGATGTATTAAAAGTTCAGAATGAAACAAATGAAGACCCAGGTCAACTACATTAAACCTCACTGTCATCGACATTGCACCAGCAAATGAAAGCTTAGACAGGCTTGGCAAAAAGGATCCTTTTGGGGGCCGCTACTATCACAACCAATAGGATCACCGGTAGACTCTACTCCGTACCCACCCTGCCCCACATAAATCCATACATAGTACAATGTCATTCCATCCTTCACCCGTCCCGACTAGCCTCGACCTACTTAGCCATAATGTTGAGGTCATACACTTGACAGGATTTCAGGGTGGATCTCAGGGGTAATTGATAGCCATTGTCAATCACCCCTACCTCGTTTTGAGGACCGATATTTCTCAACGGGGGGTAGAGTCACGGGAATTTTAACGGGATCTTACATAAGTATACGCCTTAGGCACCCAGGCCTCAATCTCAATCTTCTCCACTATGGACCCTTTCGAGTAATTCCAGTTGACTAAACTTAATCCTTGCTTCGCTATCAACATGCAAAATCAGGGAACAGGATTTGGACGTAACTCCCATGTTCCAGCGGTGCGTGCAACACCGTCCAATTAGCCCGGGAACCAGAGCTGATTTTACAGGAATAGTGTCTCGAATGTCGAGCTCGCAAGGCCAAGGTTGTGGATATAATTCTTTACATAAAGTGAAAAGCATTATTGACCTTTATTGACACAGTGTTCAAAAGCACAACCATGCGCGACATGTGTCCGCCATAATCGGAAATGTGTATACAAATCAAAAGTCGACCGGACACCTCTGACACGCGAGTAAGTGTGGCTCAAATCATTCCCCTTGCTGTCAAACCGGATTGAGACGGAATCACTGACTTTTGCATTCAGACACCTTACAGCGGTAGAAAACCGCCTGCAGTTACTTGAATCCACACTTCGAAGGCTGTTTCCAACCGGCGAGATGGATGCCATCACCCGTGCCTTGCTCACAGATGAGGTGCCAACAGATCAGCCTCCTTCCGCCTCCGGCGGCCCCATTAATCAAGTCTCTGTTGATGAAACACTACCATCAGACCCTATGACCTGGGATAGCGGATTCCCCAATCACTCTTCACCGCAAGAGACAGAGAGAGATCTTCCTACGGGTGCTGGACTGCAAGATCAAGCTTCACTATTCAACCTTCTTTTGACTTGTCCAACTCACACATCTGAGTTGGTGGGAACTGGCGACGAAGAAAGCGAGTTTCTAAATAATTACTTTTTGCATTATCATACCCTTTACCCGATATTGCATGAGGGCACGTTTAGATTGGAGCACAAAAGCCAAATTAAAGCGTCACCTCACTGGCACATCTTGGCAAGTATAGTCTTGGCCATTGGAGCATGGTTGACTGTCCCTACTCGAGATGATTTAGACAAGAAATACTTTGCCAAGGCCAAAAGCATGGTTCAAAAGGTGTCTTTCGCAGAGAAAGGCGATATCACACTGGTGCAAAGCTTGGTTTTGCTTAGTGAATTTTCAAAGAAACAGGCAAGCCCTCAAGAGAGTGGGCATTATATAGGAACTGCCGTTCGAATGGCAGTTTTCCTCCACCTACATATCAAACCCACATCCCCCAATTCAAACGAATTGGACAAGGAAATCCGCAGAAGAGTGTGGTGGAGTGTTTACTGTGCCGAGAGTTGCTCCGCAAAAATCTACGGGCGGCCACTGTTACTGCCAGAGGAGATGCTCATTACTGTTGAGCCGGTTTCAAATATCCATGAGAACGTTAGTCGGTCTATTCCTTCCCTAATTCCTCACATGCTGAACGTGACATTGCAGATGCTCCAACCTTCCGCCGCAGCTCTCCCTGTACAAATTGATCATCCAACCGTGTACACTGGCCTGATACAACAATCCAGCTATCACAGAATGGCAAACAAAATATATCGCCGTCTACTATCAACTCCTTCTATCACACTGCAAAATGTACATGAAGTCGACCAAATGATAGATGCCTGGCATAACGGGTCATCGCTCTGTACACAAGGGATGAATCCTTCATCCGCACCTGGATGGTATCTCACAGCCCATCGTCGCCAAATACTATGTGACCGAAGTCTTCGACAGCTCATCCATAGACCATTACTTTTGAAGTGGTTGAAAAACATGTCTATGAACACCGGACCGCCAACGGAAAGACACTCGAATGAAATTCGCTGTCGGGCTAATGGACTCAATATGGCTCGGACAACAATCGGAATAATATCAGAATCTATTGTGAACGGTGACTATTCGCCGTTGACACTATCGTTCACATTGTGAGAATTGTCCAATCGCTTTTAGTACATACCACTAATGTGTCAATGCCAGGTATGCCTTCTTCCACGCTTTAATCGTTCCTCTCATACACTTAAAGGCAGATCCCTCCTCTCCTGAGTCAATATCTTGCATTCAAGACATCAAACGGGCGGAATTAGCTCTGAATCACCTGTCGATTGAACGGGATGATCTGTCACAATACTTCATAGCTGTCTTGCGGCGCTTATTCTTGGTGGCATCTCAAACAAACAACGAGAGCGACCAAAGGATCTCGAGTGATGGTAAAAGGATGGTAAATCCCCACGACGTGCAGTCAGTTCCGCATGGTATTTTTGGGAATGAATGCTTGGCTTTATTGGACAATGAAGCTCTGAAATCTGGAACTGGGCTGAATTTCTCAGAATGGGTCAACTTATGAATCACCTTCCATCGAATGGACACAAGAAGGACACAAGAAAGATGCCAAAGGAAAAGCGAGAAATCGCTTGGAGGACTTTATATTCATTGCCTATCCTACGGCAATCTCCAACCGCCAGTGGGCCATAATAGCTTTTCCCGTAGTAAAGTAAATTTTGACCTGGCTCACTATTGGTTTTCTATTCTATAAATAATTCGATTATCGAAAATTATAATCGGATTTTGAAATTATATAACTAGAGAATTGGTTCAGATGTAGAAAATATTCATATTCAGTACATTACAGGCATAATCCGTTATGGCGCACTGGGCGGTTGGAGACTACCGTACCTGTCCTCTTTAAGCAATTTGATTGCGCTAGATCCAACTCAACCAGATTGGAAAGCATCCCTCTGCAAAGCTGCTTCTTGGGCATGATGTTCCTTGACAAACCCTGTAGCCACACTAGCCGTTGCCTCGCGTCCCGCAAAACGTAGCCGACGGCCCTTATGCTGCGCCGTTATATCAAAGATAGTCTCGAGCCGACTTCGAGCGAATGCCCATGGACCATCATTGAGCGATTCCTCTTGGCACCAGACAATATCCGAGGCGCTCGGGTATTGCTCAAGATTCTCTTTGACCTTGTCCCAAGGAAATGGATGGAGCTGTTCGATGCGGGTTATGGCTGTCTCTGTGATCGCATGAGTCTCGCGATACTTTGCCAATGCCATATAAACTTGTCCCGTGCAATATATCACCCGTTTGATGTCAGAGGGGTTTGAAATAGATTCTCCATGGGCTGGGTCTGGGATTAGAGGCTGGAACTTCGATTCTCCGATGAACTCTCCAATGTTTGATTTAGCCATCGGGTGTCGAAGAAGGGATTTTGAGAAGAACATGACCAGTGCTAGGCAGATATGGTCAACAATGATTTCAGAATGTAGGGAGGGCAAGAACTTACGCTTTCTGAACTCGCGATGTAGCTGTCTTCTGAGCACGTGGAACATATTTGCAGGAGTGGTCATATAAACAACTTGTATATTGGCATCCTGGTGCTGTCTCTCCAATTTCTCCGGCGATGGGAAGAAGCGAGCATCCTCGTTGCATAACTGCAGGAATCGTTCCATGCGAGCTGATGAATGCTCAGATCCTTGTCCATCAAAACCGTGGGGTAGAGACAATACGAGACCGGATCTCAGTAACCATTTAGACTCGGCAGACGAAATGAACTGGTCAATTATGCATTGAGCGTTATTTGCAAAATCGCCAAATTGTGCCTCCCACATCACTAATGCATTAGGGTGCATGCAAGAATATCCGTAGTCGAATCCCATGACCCCGTATTCACTTAAAGAAGAATTTCCGACGGTGAATGGAGCTTGGCTGGGATTTAATGAGTTGAGAGGAGTGACTGTTGACCCGCTATTTTGGTCGTGGAGCACTGCGTGACGCTGGGAGAATGTGCCGCGCTCGACATCTTGGCCAGAAATCCGCACATGATGACCTTCGAGACACAAGCTTCCCATTGCGAGGGCCTCTGCTGTAGCCCAATCAATATCTCTTCCATCTGTTAGGCTCTGCTGTCGCTTTTGAAGAATCTTTTGCAAGCTTTTGTGCACGGTAAATGGTTGCTCGGGAACGCCCATCTTACTTGCAACCGTATCGACGATATCTTGGGTGATGGAAGTTGATTTGGCTGGATAGACCTCTTGAGACACTTCACTCGGCTTTTTCAGGTCTTGCCATGGGGCTGTTAGATATTCGCGTTCGAGGGTCTGTGGGCTTTTGCTGTTGGCGAGGCTCTCGCTCAGTTTTGACCACACGTCTGCTTCCATTTGTGTGACTTCTTCGCGAGTGACCACTCCTTCCTCAACCAACTTGGTGGTGTAGACTTCCAATTGGGTGACCTTGTTGGCAATTTGCCGATACATCAAGGGCTGAGTAAAGGACGGCTGGTCCATCTCATTGTGTCCATTCTTCCGATAGCAGATCATGTCGACCAGACAATCTTTTCCAAATTTGGCACGGTAATCTGCTGCAAGCTTGCAGATAAACACAACAGCTTCCACATCATCTGCATTGACGTGAAAAACCGGCGCGCTGATGCTCTTCGCAATGTCGGATACATTGGACGATGTTCGTGCAGACTCCGGGTTTGTGGTGAATCCAACTTGATTGTTGATGACCAAATGAATTGTTCCGCCAGTCTCATATGATTTCAATCCAGATAACCCCAATGTCTCGTATATAACCCCCTGCCCAGAAAATGAAGCATCGGTGTGACTGTTGAAGACCATGGTTGATGCTCGGTCCTCTCCGTTCTGCTGCTGCACGGCTCGGGCCATGCCCTGTGCAACGGGATTTTGGGCTTCCAAATGAGACGGATTTGGAAGGATGGAAATATTGACCTTCTTTCCGGACGGCGTCTCGCGCTCGTAGTTCATTCCTAGATGGTACTTGACATCTCCTGGAATACCATGTCGAGATTTCAATTCGCCCAAGAACTCGTTGAATATCAGTTCATTTGGCTTTCGCGTCACATTGCTCAGAACATTTAATTTTCCACGGTGACAGCATGGGAATATGATATTGCTCACTCCATGCTCTGCTGAGGCATCAATCACTGCCTTCACTGCTGGAAGCTGGCTCTCAACACCCTCCAGTCCAAACCTTTTTGCGTTCGGGAATTTGGCAGCGAGGAACTTCTCGAAATTTGTAGACCACATCAGCCGGTCGAGTATTCTTTTCTTTTCTTCTGCTGGGAACTGATATGGTTTGGGGGATTCAATTCGCTCGCGAATCCAGTCACGCTCTTCACGGGTTGCGACGTGTGAATACTCGGCTCCGATCGAGCCACAATAAATAGATTCGCATGTTTTGAGAATATCGCGGAGAGTCATGTGTTGGCGGTCTGCGGCTTTGAAGTAAGGAAGAACATGGGGTCCAAGTGCAAACTCTCGGTCCAAGTCATTCTCATTAAAGCCGTAGAAGTCTGGTTGCAGTTCTTGTGGTGATGATGCCTTATTTGGGAGATCCAAGGGGTTTGTCTTTGCTCCCTGGTGACCAAAGTCTTGGAATGCTCGAACTAGCCGCTGTATTCTGGCCTGGTCGTCACCTGCCGAGGAGATGGGAGTTTTCGCAATATTTAGACCTGGTAGCATTGGTGAGGACCCGGGGCCCCATACAAACGGTACATGCTGGGGAGGTTGAAGTAAATGTCCAGGTGGCTCCTTCCTGGCTTCTATCGCCTCGAAGTATCTTTTCCATGAGGCATCAACTAAAGCAGGGTCCTTCCGCCATTCCGCATACATCTGGTCCATATAATCTGCGGAATTTCCCTGCAGAAAACTGTCTAGGTGAAGCTATAATATTTCCCATCAGTTTCTGCCGTATCTCAAGTCGAATCAGATCAAGATAATCATACGCGACGGTGTTGTGCATATTTCCCACACGGCCTCAAGCGATGACTTCCAGTTGCTCTTCGAAATCCTGTGCCTAAGCGACTAGCACTCGGGGTTAACGAAGTTCTGAGAATGAACATGATCAAAATCGAAATCTAAGGACAGAGATCTTTTCCTTATTTCTATACATAAAAAGGAAAAGAGCAAACACAGAAAGCAGAGATCCCAAAGCACAACGAAAATACCAACATAATTACCCATTTCCTCTGAAATATGGCATCGGCGACATTCTGTTTTGCCATATAACCGCCAAGTAACCGAAAAGAACATCGGGTGATAGTTCCGACACGGCATACTTCTCTCCATCTACCTTAGACCCATTTATTTCCCGATAATTCAAAAGCAGGAGGCCTTTATAAAAAGAATATACGTATCTTACTCCACATTTACCAGGGTTTTAGGGACATCACGACCGGTATCTTTCCTAGCGGAAAATCATAACGTAGCCATAAATTTGATACAAAATTAATAATCCCACACCCTGTGTGAATGCTATAAGCCCCATATTTGTAGTAAGGGAGTAATGTGTAAGGGCTTCTATCACTACCTAGAAAGACCACTAGAAAGACCACCAAAAGTTCTGCTAAAAAATGTCTTTCTAAAGCTGTATAGCTATTCTTATTACCCCATACCTTATAGCCTAGGAACTATCTATATAGTTATCAATGTATAGGTCGAATTGATACATAAAGGTCTACCGTTCTTTACTATAAGTGAAGCGGGAAAGCAGAGGGAACTATATAGAACCGAGGCAGTGGTGTAGCCCGATGACGGTTATCGTAATTGGTCACCAAAAGAAGAGAGTTTTTTATCCAATTGATGACATATCCTCATACCTACGAAGAGTTGAAGTACAGGATAAAGTCCGAATCTCTGCTCCTGTTTTCAAAGTGTGCCTTAGCGGCCAAACATCCCATAGGACTAGCTTATACCTAAGATACAGAAAGAGTTACAGGAAAGAGTTTACGGTGGAGAAGACGCAAATCTAGCGAAAGCATCTTTTGAAAGACAAGTGATGAATGATACCAGGGCCCATAGAAAGATTCTTTTGACGATTGCAGAGAAGCTTGGTGGAGATGAACTTGGCCTGGAAGCAGGTCGTGTCGCAGAATGGTCGATTATGGAGGATCCTAGGACCAGTATGTCTCTAGATAATATCATCAAGGCGTTCCGGCAGGAAGATGAAGGCCTGAGATTTTATCTTACGTGTTATAACAAGAACAGTCGACCTCTCGTTAGGTTCCACGCAGATCTCCAAGAACAAAACGAATGCTAATATAACTCAATCTTGTCAGCTTTTAGCTAGACTATATATTCCCAAATCTACAGCTCAAGCATCATAGTCTCTGGACGCTCCAAGTACTGCTTAATCAGGACCAAAAACTGGACTGCTTCTCTGCCATCGATGATTCGGTGATCATAAGTCAGAGCAATATACATCATCTAGTAGAGAGACATGATTAGAATCAAAGAGCAAAGCAATCACTACAATAAAGTGCACTTACCGGACGAATCTCAACTTTTCCATTGACCGCAATGGGTCTGTCCATGGTACCGTAGGTCCCCAGCACAGCTGTCTGGGGTAGATTGATAATGGGAGTTCCGAAGAGCGACCCCCAGACTCCACTATTGCTGATGGTGAAGCTTCCACCGGTCAAGTCCTCCATAGTCAACTTGCCACCCCGAGCCTGAATAGAACCCATATATCAGCAGTTAATCCATCAAGAAAGATGCCAAAGTACTAACCTTCTTCACCATGTCGCCAATCGCTTTTTCTATCTGCAAGATTCCCATGGATTCGATATTCCGTACTACAGGTGTGACAAGCCCCTTCGGGATAGATGCAGCAATGCTCAGGTCAACGTATTCCCGATACACGATAGTATCGTCGTTTTCAATAGATGCATTCACGGCGGGGATCGCTTTCAGAGCCAGCGCGGATGCTCGAGCCATAAAACCCATAAACCCGAGCTTAATTCCATGCTTTTCCATGACTGTCTCTCTGTTATTCTTTCGGAGTTCTATTAGTCGGGACATGTCGACTTCGTTGAAAGTGGTCAGGAAGGCGGCGGTATCCTGTGACTCTTTCAGGCGCTGTGCGGTGCGCTTTCGAATCCGAGTCATTTTCACCTAAATGATGATTATTTAGTATTAGTTGACGGTGGGGTTGCGTATTTGAACATGGGATAGACTTGCCTTTTCTTCTGCGCGAGAAGGCCTGAAACCCCAAGACGTATGGGACTGTGCAACAGGGGAAGTATCTGTAGCAGGCTTTTCTGCCTTTGGAATATGCTCCTCGCGAGGGGTCACCTTAGGCTTTGGCTCCAAGGTCTCCGCTGTCGCTTTGTCCAACGGGGGTGACGAAGTGTGGCTCACGGTTTCATCTTGCGATTTCGGCGACGCATTGGCAATTATTTCAGAGGCCGTGGAGCTTTGCTTTTTATTTTGAGTTGTAGACTGCTTTTCTTCAGCCTGTATTTCTGCGATTTCCTGGTCAACGTTGACGACATCTCCCTCGGCAACAAACAGCTGCTGGATGACTCCCGCCCCTGGGGCATTCACAGAGACATCGATCTTATCGGTCTCGATTGTGGCCAGCTCTTCGTCTGCCTCGATGAAGTCCCCTACTTTCTTGGAAAACTGACTGAGGGTTCCCTCCGTAATAGACTCGGCCATTTGCGGGACTCGCACGACGATCTTTGCATCATGATGGGGCAAAGAACTGCTGAAAGTGCGGAGTTGCAATGAGGATCTCCTCAGCTGGCTGCGACCAGGTTTGGCAAGAGTAGAAGAAATAGCTGGAAAGGCAACAACATGCCCTAGGGCAGGTCTCGGCCTGCTAAGAAGCCGGAAGGCTGCTCGAGAGGTCCAACGCAGCGCCATTGCACAGAGTGGATTGAAATTGGGGAGAAAACGAACGTGGGTTCATTTTTCGTTTTTATTAATAACAACTCAAGTTCCCTAGATTTTGTTAGGCGTTTTTGAGGAAGAACCCGGGCCCTCTTGCCGCTAAATTCGGCATCTTGTCAGAATGCCGACCGATGGCATAAGCGACGACATAAGTAAACTCAAGATTACTTTGCTAAAATTTCTCTATTGGTCTATACTTTGCGGTTCTGGTGTAGTCTAATGTTAATTGATCTAAACGACAGCAATAAAATCCACCTGAATATCCACCCCGGCGGGCAATTTGGATACTTCAACCATAGACCGTGCAGGGCGATGCGGGAATGCAGAGTCATAAACAGAGGCAAATTCCGGCATCACGTTGACATCTTTAACGTACACCTGCCGGGAGATTAAGGAGTGAATACTAGGAATTAGGTGTTTAATACTCACCACTACTTTGACAACCCTGTCTAACCCAGTGCCCGATGCCTTTAAAATAGCTTCGGCATTCTTGATTATAACTTGAGTCTGCTCGGTCATTGAGCCTTTGATCAGGTTCCCCTGTGCGTCTGCGGGTATCTGTCCGGAGAGCCAGACTTGACCGGCCGCTTTGATCGCTTGAGACTGTGAGCTTGTTAGAGAATCTTTCTTCTTTCGTCATTGATTGTACATACATAATGGGCGAAAGCTAGAGATATTGTTAGTCATAGAATCTGAGGGTTTTCAGTCCAGAAACTTACGTGCATATGCCTCGTTCGTCTGCACGCTGGTTACTTTAGTATGCTTCGGCGCACTAGATATAGTTTGGATTCGAGCATAGCTTCGAGCCAGATTGTCCGACAGCAGTGGGGTGCTCCTGAGAGCAGCGCGAGCGTTTCGGCTGAACATGATTGAATATAAAGAAGCAACGTCGGCGTTGTGGTCAGGGTCGAGGTCGACTCCACTATCAAATCTTATCGTGAAAATGTCGGAGGCTGCACCCGACTTTTGTCGTTGTCTCAAAAAAATATCAAAAATAGTTTAAGACAAACATCACGGTGGAATTTGATTTTGTCAACACAGCAAATCCTTTATTTGATCCAATATGTCTCGTCTAAGAACAATTAGCCGATTTCTATCCAACCAGTATGTCAACCTTTGCTCGCAAACCAACCAAGATCTAACTTGAATCCAGGACTAAATATCCTACTCCCATCTCTGTATCTCGGGTTGGATCTCATTCATTGAACCAACTACGAAAGAGTTCTTCTGCAACAGCCGTGGCATCGGAGGCTGAAATTGCCGCAGCACAAAAAAACTACAAGGTCGTCCAAGACACAGGCAATTTTGACGAGATCCAAGCCAAACGCCCAGACTTTGATCATTCTAAGCCCATCACAGTCACAAAATCCCCAAATCCTAACTGGGAGTACGGGCAAGGAGTACCCGACAATGGGGCCAGTCTGGCCCAAAAACATCATGAAATCGACCCCTACGCCCCCGATCGCCCGATGATCAACAACTACCGCCTTCTTGTCTCGGGAATTGCGCCTCGACCAGTGGGATTCCTGAGTACCGTCAATACCAAGGGTGAAAAGAATCTCTCCCCATTTAGTTACTTCCAAGTCATCGACCACGATCCCCCAATGTTCATCGTGGGTTTCTCGTCTCGACCTGGTCGGGTCAAAGATACCTACCGTAACCTCCGAGAAACTGGAGAATGTGTGATCAACACAGTCTCGGAGAACATGATCGAGGCAGTAAATGCGAGCTCTATCGATGCTCCGTACGGAGTGTCAGAGTGGGATATCTCCGGTCTACATGAGGCGCCATCGAGTACTGTGAAGCCGTCCCGCGTTGCCGAGTCTGTGTTCAACATTGAGGGAAAGGTTATTGATATCAAGGAGTTCACGGATCATCAACAGCCTGGAATGAGTCTTGCTGCTACTGTTCTCATTAAGGCTACCCGGTTCTGGGTCAAAGAGGGCACTGTCAATGAGGATTATAGTCACATTGATTTGGAGAAGTTGCGGCCCATTGGTCAACTTGGTGGGATGTCGTATGGTCGTATTGAGTCGACTTTTGAATACCCGCGCAAAAGATGGAGTGACGAGGTGCCCAAGAGTGAGGTCTTGGCTAAGCTAGATGCTGCTAAGCCTGTTGGTAAATGAGAATTCTGTACATGAATAGAACATAGTGTGCCTGAGGTGCTATGGTCTGGCCTTGTTTCTCAGGTGTCCATATGACCAGCAGAGGATTGTGGATTGTACAGAATGATTCCCCGCATAATGAAACACAAGCAATGTACTATTTTAAACATGAAAGATTATCACAAGGTATTCAAGGCCAATCACACAATAGTGGAACTGATAATCCCCGAAAGTTTCGGCCAAGATTAAGGAAGATCACTCGAGAGCCTCCGATCTTCTATATAATTGTATACACGAACTGTTAATTAAAGGAAACAAAACATAAAAGTGAATGTAACCCCATATTTCAAGGAATTGAGATAAGCCACCCCCTTTTCAGCCCTCGGGACGAATCAAACGTCTTCAATTCTGTACGGAGAACTCCGCACATCAAACGGTCTTAAGAAGCGACACGGCGGCCAGAATATAGCTTGTTTTCTCGTTTGTACCGTTTGCTTTTGTTTTTTGTTCTCTGAGACATTCTGTTTATTCACTTCACTTATTTGGGGATTTCTTCCCACTCCCTTATATCCCTTCTCCGAGAACCCCTTCACTCCTTTTCTGGTTCTCACATACACTCTTTTTATTTTCTAAAAACTTGGAATTCATAAAATTCACCATGCTTCCCACACTCCTTTCCGTCTTCCGCCGGGACTGCAATGGCGACGAGACCATGTCCAGCTGCACAAAGCCCACCAGCTCCGCAGTAACCATCGGCATTCCCGCCGCGATAACAGGAGTGTATGTAACCTCCCTCACCCTTTTCCGACAATATTTGTACCAAACACCCAAATCATAGCCGAACTAACTATATCACAGTCTCCTCCTAGCTGCCATGGTTGTCCTGATAGTCCTCCGCCGGAAGCGCATAGCCAAAGAAAACCGTGAAGACCTGGAAGATCGTCAACGCAGTTCAGGCTTCTATGCCCGCTACGCGACACAGCGCTTCGGCACTGAGGGAGCACCACCACCATCGAATGGACGTCCATATGCTTCCGAGTCGCGACGTAGCTCCGGCGAATCGATCTATGATTTTAAGCAGGATCACGGCCCCTATCACCTTGCTCAATTCCCTAGTCACGAGCCACAGGTGCAAAAGCCCGTGGCTGCGAAGGTGGTTGTGTAGTGCGGGGTTTCATCTTTTCTTGTAAGTCTTGATATCAAAAAGGAAGTTGGTTTTCAGATGCTAACGTTCATTAGGTTCCTGCAGGTTGGGACGGTTGCTTCGGTTCGCGGGCGATCCCGAGGTCTTGCTCCTTCCAAGGTTATGCTGACGTATTTTATTTTCACTTTCAAGCGATCCATGGCCATCGTACAGTAGCGAACCCAGCGATTTTTTTTATTGTAGCCAAATGTCTCTTCAATTCTTTGACAAATTTTGGTATAAATAGTAAATAGTACAGTAGATTGTGAAATAAGGAGCTATACATTCATCTTGAGATCGTTTTCATAAATAATATATTGGGTCGTGCACGAGACACGACACCAATCACTCGACATTCACCATGATCTGATCATCCAGGACATGGGCACTGCACTCGGGGGATGCCTCAGCCATAGGTTGAACATGGAAATACCCCATCTGGAATAAGACATGCTGCCACTCGGGCCCTGCAGTGCCTTGCACTTTGTAGTAAGGCGTGTCTAGCGCAAACCACCTCTCTTTGCGCGTTGAGGCTTTGTCACCTCCTTCGAGGGCCGCACGGCTAGCACGTGTCGTGCGTGAACGCTTCTCGCCACGCCCGTGCTCCTGCGCCGTGAGCTCAAACAGCCTCTCGCGGTATTGGTGGAGGCGACCATCGAAGACCATGATAGCACGGATGTACGGGGCCAAGTCTTCCGTGATCGGGGCGATTCCATTCTCGAATGAGGGGGCGTGGCGGGCGGTTGGTGTGGGGTTTGAGTAGTTGGCACGCATGACAGGTTCAAATATGCGCTGAAATTGAGGGAGAGTGGATGGAGGGGTCTGCGGGGGCATTGCAGAGACGATGGCTTTGCTCAGGACTCGGTTCGCGTATAAAGATTCCAAGTCCTCGGCCGTGGGACGGAAAGTTCTGCTTATCAACGCATCAAAGGTGCTGCCGACATTTTCACTGAGTGATGAATACTCCGTTCGCAGCTCTGTATGCAGGAGCGGGTAATTGTCGAGATAGTTGGATCTATGGCCTTCTGGCGGCGGTGGGGTGGATATATCAACAGCATCCTGTTCAATTATCAGCTGGCGTTTCAGTAGACGTATCCATCACACTTACAGTTCTCGTGTCCGTGGACAGATTAGAGCAAAGGATGTCGAGAGAACTTCTCATGTCATAGTAATCCGCTTCCCGGCACAAGATGTCAAGTTGCGTTGTCTTGGAAATAGACTGAAGTTGAGCGGGGGGTAGAAGTTCAGCTTCACTCTTCCCGGCCATGTCTTCGGAATCCTGCAGGCCGAGACCCCACGATTGAAAGCTGTTGCGGATGATTTCCGTCTCTTCATCCAACGAGCCCTGGGTCAAAATTATATCACGATTGAACCAGCCCATATATCGCTCGTAGGTGTTGAGGCTCAGAACGCGAAGTCGGTCCCCATCATGATCTACGTTTGTCCCAGGTGGCCAACTAGGAAGCAGCCAATCCAAGCCCGCTTTCTCACTGCCAACACCCATCTGACACCAGAAGTTCAGATCCATCAATGACTTCCGAAGATCCATACCGGATCCTTGATAAAGTCTGGTGACGGCTTCTCTCTTTAACATGTGGCCCTCGTTGGCGGCAACCAAAAGCAAATAATCGACGCTGAAGTCGTGAGCAGGCTTCCGGTATCGTAGTATGGCATGAAGAGACATATCCTGGGTAGGAATTAAACTCTCGTTGTTGCAGGTGATGACGATCGGTCGTTTAGATTGGCTGATGAGAGTCAGGACACCAGTCCAAAATTGTCGATCTTCTTCAAAAAGGATATCAGCTTCTTCGAGCAGGATCAAAGACTGTTTTTGCTCCCGGGGGCGTTTGGGCGCAGTTTCGGGCTTAGGGCTAGGTTCGCCAAACTGGGAGACCGGCTTGCTAGGCTTTGAGGATGGACCTTTGAAAAAGCTCTTCAGCTTGTTTTGCTTCGCAAAATCCTTGTCGTTGTTTGTTGAATTCTCGGATTCGTTGAGGAGATGAACAAGGTGGTTTTGCGTCATGTCTCCGACTCGCTCCAACATATCTCGGGCACTTCGTCGGCTTCCAGCATTTATCTCAAAAACTTCAAAATCAAGCTCTTTTGCAATGGCATAGACAGAAGCAGTTTTGCCGGAGCCAGTCGGGCCGCTAAGAAGAATCGCGTTGGCCATTGGAGTCTTTTTTTCTATTCCATGTAACCCAGATGCTATGTCACCCGACCTGACGACTGTCCGTTGAGGTGTTGTGGTCACGCCGCCCGCTAACTCATCATCTGAGCCGGAGAGATTGTCCATCTCAGAGGCCTCTTCTTCGCTTGACACCACGAATCCATCGAGTTTGTCGGCTTTCTGGCGCTTTTTTGCCTTTTTCGATTTCATTTTTGCATGCTCCTTCGATGATTTTCCGGTGTCTACTGCTGTGATCTTGAGGTGCCGCAGCCAGTCTCGAAGCATCTGTGGTTCACGGCCAAGCTGAAGGACATCTTCAGCTGACTGAGGGGCGTACTTGTGCGTCCAAAGTTGCGGTTCATAAGTTGCACAGTCGAAAGCAGAAACTGACGTAAGTAGGGCTGATCTGAGTCTAGCAAGCGGTGGACTAGAAGAGTTCCAAGGGAATCGGCGGTTTGGTGAGGACCACGACATCTGTCTTTCCATTGCCGTATGCAAGACTTGTCTGCTGGCAACATGTCGCACGGGATGGCGAAGAATGGCGAGGGCATCATACTCCTGTTTGGGCAGGGCGGCGATTCTCCTTGCTTCGGCTGTTCCAGCTAGAAGGGCGTTTTCTTCGTCTCTAATTGAGATAGCTGCAACCTTCGATTTTTTTCGGTCCTGGGTAATATGCCAGACACGACCATTAACATCTGGGGGCGGGTGAGCGTCTCTGATATGCACAAGACCTTGCGGTGGCCAAAGGGGATCAAGCAGTTCGGGAAACTTAGAGACACGACGAGGGAAGCTAGTGAAAGAACTGCCCGAAGCTGATACTATCCGCTTCTTGTCCGGGGCCCCAGCTGTGGTTTGGCTTGAGGGCACGCTCGCGCTGGTATCTGGATTGTCCGATTGAGATCCATTCAAACTCGCAGGCCCGGGCTTCTGTGCTGATTTCTTGCTGAAAAACGGGTGTGTGGGCTTTCGGGGTTGGCTTTTCGTCTTGCGTGGCTGAACAGAGGGTATAGTGGCAGGGGGGTTTTGAACTACTCGGCCATCTAGGATATCATCGATCAATTTCCCGAGGTTCTTTTCTGTGGCAACACTATACTTGAACTTCACCACCTTGCTCTCAACCTTTCGCGGCCTCCCCCGCTTGCCTGTCGTTTTCTTTTTTGTCTCTCTAGGAGGACTAGAGGCAGGTGACGACAGGAACCCTCCCTTCGAATTCAGTTTCAGGGTCTTCTGTCTTACAGAGGTTCTTCCAGCTCGACCCTCTCCTTTCTCGTTCTCAGCAGGTGTCAATGGTTGGATTTCATCTGCAGGAACTTGGGTCTCCGCCAGCGGAGCCTCGGGGTGAGATATAGACAAATCGATTTCGGTCTCGGGGGGATGATCGGTCGACGAAGGCGCAGTTTTGGTCAGGTTATAGCCGAGCCATTCTGAGAGACCTGCACTCGAAGTAGTTGTGGGTTCGGTGGTTTGGGCTTTGTCCGTTCTGCGCCTCTTTCTCCGATCCTCATTTAGGTCTTCGTCAAGATGCTCGGAACTTTCATCATTTATTTTGGAGACATTTGGATCATGATTCTCCGGAGCGCGTGGCTCCTGCTCATGCCTAGAGCTTTGGCTGCTTATCGGTCGAGGCTCGTGTGCGTGGGTATTCACACCCGAGATTGGTTCATTTGAGGGTGTAGATTTGACCGAGACACCAAATTCTAGACATTGTAAGCTCAGATTCACCTGCGGCTATGGGACACATTCTGACCTTGTCGGAAGAAGGGATGTATGACTTGCTGTTCGTCGGATCCCATAGCCATCGGTAGGTTGGATATGACGCTCATGTGATGAACAATCAGTTGATCCCTGAGGAGAGATCAGGGAGCAAGCAGAGTCTCAGATATAGCATTGAAATGACAGATTATCGGTGGTAGGTGTGGCGCGATTGCATGAAGCAAAAGTCAAGTCGAGGTCGATCTCCATAGCTTCAAACACGTCCGACGCGCAAGGCCGGGGGCGCGTTAATTGCTTATGTCAGGCTGATTGCTTCACGGGCCAACGCTAGCCAGATATGGCCTAGGGGTGGATTACCGGCCCGATGTAATCCCGAAAATTTTTCAGATTTCCAAATTGGATGGGTCTGCATCAAAAAGATCACACGCTTTGAAGGGACCGGAAATCAAGCACTTTTTGATTCCTGGTATTCAGTTCGTCATGGATTTGCAGTCCCCATCTGTCCTGGCGCAATTGCCTCGCCCCCTTCACGCTTCTACTGGCAAAACCCGGATCGGCGATGTCTTCAGTCTCGCCGATGCGAAAAAACGCAAGCGCTATGAAGTCGCAGTCGCCGTAGATGGCGAAGCTGTGAACATTTACAATGTATTTTTTACTTCCCTGGTGTCTGCTCAGTTTCTGACTCTAATCTTCATCAGGTTCAAACACCCAAGCTCGTGACTTCCTACGCCGTCCCGCCGCAATCTACTTTCTCTTGCCGCCCATGCTCAGTTCGCAGAAAGTTGTCGAAAAAATCAACAGTCCGAAGACAGACTTATACTGCCGTCACTAAGCCAGAACATCAGATCAAGTGTTTTGTGGAGGAGATCGGCAGCAACGCCTCAAGTGCTCCGGTCATTTCTTCTTCGGCTACCACCGTGACCGACTCGACCAGCCCCACAACTTTTGTAGGCATTGTTCCCTCTAGTGCCGATGCCGAAGGAGAGACAGACCCCTTCGATATTCTGGCAGTTCACGAGGATGGTCGTGTGCGTAGGCTGTCGTCGGATCTGAAGACCCAGCGATGGAGTATTCAGCACAGTGAGATTGCCAAGGTTTG